GTACTTGGAAACTCAGAACAGGCTGCTCTTTTGTCTATGAGCTTTTGATCACTCATTTGGCCCAGGGCAGTCCTTTAGGCTGCCTGGATACCTCTGGATACCAAGTTACCTGGGTACTCTCTAATGAACCAGTGCTTAGGCTCAAGGTAACAATGGGAGGACCAAATAGCTAACTTGACATTTATTAGGGATGACCATTTGACTGCAGAAATAGAATTCCAAATAAAGGTGGTTTTTTTCTTGGAACTTGACTACTTCAAGGAAAACAAACATGAAAAGAGACAAGCTAAGTATGCAGGGAGGCAAGTAGTGGCTGAGCCTTGTGTTCTGAGCAAACAGCTTGAACAAGGCCTTTGGTGGGAGCTGTTTGGGAAAAGACCAGGGACTTGTATACATGTTGTTCCCGATTCTGCATTTGCAACTGGGTCTCCTCCCTTGTAATGGCATGGAGGAATGGCTGGGTTCAGCATTAATGGGTTGTGCTTCCTGGGAGGAACCCAGGAACCCAGAAGTAATTAAGGGCAAGGTCCATAGCTTTTGCCTTGAGGAGAGAAAAACTACAACCACAGTAGAAAATTATTTGCTCATATCGAACTTCTAAGTTTGTATGGGGAGTAGAATCTGTAGGGTGCAGTCCACCAATTCTGAAATATTCATTGTTTACAACTGGGACTTCATTCTTGCAGATAAATCCTCGCTCCCAAGTAGACCCTTTAAGTCTACTTTTTGAAACCTCATACAAGGCATTCCTAAAATAGGACTCCTCAAGTTGTTGATTCTTTTCTGGAAGTGGGCATGATGAAGAATCCCAACCTGCCTCCTTCAAAGAGGTCTCACAGGGCTTAGGTTGGCAGGAGGCCAATCTATTTGACTTGATAGCAACCCCCTGCCCCCTGGTAATTCCCTAGCCACTTGGATTGTTGACTGTATAAATAAACCGCTGAGTTTAAAGTCAGTGGCTCCTTTTACACATAATGGTTAATTCATAGTAGGCCCCCTTATTCCAGCTGGTTATGTCCTTGGGGTTCAGAAGAGATTGAAACAGTAAGCCATGTCTGGTTTTTCAGCAACTTTCACTGAGATATTCATAATGAGTTAATCCATATTTTTTCTGTATCCATCTCAATGCCATCTGAATATTGCATCTTTCCCTTTTGTCTAATACCAAAGAATTTGCTACAGAAATTATGGCCGAGAGTTTTAAGAATATGAGCTGAAAATAGTATCTATTTAATCCTGTTTTATTTGTTTCAATTTTAGCAGTTAACTGATATTTAGGATTGTTTTAGGACCTGACTTCTGTTAGTGATGGCCTGGTATTCTACTGTGTCTGCTAACTGTTATAAAAGTCTTCTTGTGAGGTCTGTTGACTTGATCAATAAAACTGATAGGTTAAGTGAATCAGTTATGGCTGTGCAGCATTGCACACACTGCCCAATGTACACTTGTTACTTAAATGCTCTGTTCTGGATTGTTGTGATTTCCAAAAATGAAAACTCTGGGATTTTTAGTGGTTAAACAATCCAGAGGTATTTCAACAAACCATGGCTTAAAACTCTGGATTAGGATAAAACGATGCAGAACCAAGTTTGGATATTGCAACAATCCAGGAATAAGGTGCTCTTGAGTTTAGGAAATCAGAAGCAGAAAAGCGATTAAGAACAAATGAACTTGCTCTTTCACAAACAACCTATGAATTGTTTAATTTTCACCCTGCATCTAGAGAAACCTAACAAGTGTTGCACTTGGGTCCTTTAGATCCCAACCTAAATTCTAATGTGTTTAAAACACCAAAATAACCAGATGCAGAGAACACACTAAGTAGAATGCTTATTTGAATACACATTACTCTCCTCTACACATTGTTTGCATATTGAGTAACTAAAACATTTTGGAAATGTCATTATCTTTTTATTTTTGGTTAAAGACAATTTTTTGAACCAAGTAGGCTGAATGCTAACAAATTGGCATGAATTGAGAACAAAAACAATGTTGAATACTATTATTCTTTGTTGGGGGGTCGTTTTTCTGCCCCATAAACAAAACTGCCTCTGCTGAGACTAAATTTCCTGTGAAAGGGCTGAATCTTCATCATAGGAGTGTAACTTCAGCTGGTATAGTTATATGGAGACTGACTCATTCCACCATCAGCTTCCAATTGCCATAGCAAAGGTTTTCCTTCTCAGCTTCTAGTCAGCAGGACAATGAATTTCAGATGTTGAAAAGGTTTTAGATTCTTAGTTTTTTAGGTGAGGGAAGGGTTTATTCCTCTTTCTGGCACTCCAAACAGACTAAGATTACCTGTAACATCCTCAAAAGAGCATGGGACATTTTGTGCCATGCTATATGTCCACTAAGTAGGGTAGGAAAAGTGTCCCAATAATCAGATGTTAGGGAAATTTTGCAGATACTTAGATTTTTTTTACCCCTTTTGCATTATCAAAGGAAACTGCAAAAGGCAGGTGGCTGAAATTCAGAGACATTCTTGACTATCATGCAGACAACATTGTCTGAGAACAGCAGTCCCCACCCTGCACGCTGCAGAAGGGTACCAGTCTCTGGCCTGTTAGGAACCAGGTTGCACAGCAGGAGGTGAGGGGTGGGTAAGATCCAGAGTTTGAACATTAGAGTCAAGATAAAATCTCTTCAAAGATTGAACTACGCTTCCAAGTTTGAACCACAGGCACAGTGAAAAAACTGGTCACTGAGTAAACGTCATCAGTTGTGCTCACAAGTTGTCTCTCATCTCTTGTTGCATCTATGCCTTTTCACTGTGTGCCTTTTTGATTGTTCTTAGTGCCCTTATGTGAGAACTCTTTTCGATCATTCCGAGTGCCTTTTAACTGCCTGCCTTTCCGCACTGCACTATTAACTCATAAGAAGTGAGGCAGAACTCTTTAAAGAACAGACCTAAGAGCCCAGCAACCCCCAACTGATGTTGGAACTGTGAACACCAAGCCTATTTGTGCTGAGTTCCAACTGAATAATGCAGCTGAGTACTTGCGCTAAACTCATGACAATGAAGGACAGAAGGATCAATAGACTGACTATAGGGAATGAAACTTATGAACCCTCAAGGAGATTCCTTGTTTCTTGATTCAATTAAAACTAGCTGACTGAGCATTCTAAATGCCATTCCTCTTAGAGACAGTTGGAAAAAGGCTGTTATAGACTAAATGCATATTTGGTAGCACTTTACCCTGGTGATCAATTTCAGGGTAAACATTTGTTCAGCACTGGACCATACATCACCTTCTGACCTTTGGCCCTAGATTGGCCAAAGTAAAAGCACCATAGAGGTTTGCCTGGCTGGGTAGGTAGTTTGATAGTCAGGAAGATGTTTGCTCACCAATTCTCCTTAACACTTCCAAATTCCCTGCATTAACAAGAAAGGTAGGCAGCAGATGCCATATCACCCGTGCCCCATGCTCCAAACATAAGGAACGCTGTTAAGCCAGGAATTGCATTTGTGCACACTACCCTTGTGGATTTTTCCTTTCAAGAGAGAGAGAGGCTAGGAGTGGAGGAGGCCAGGCTGAAGAATGTGTCCTTTCATGTGCTTATGGATGGCCCTTCTTTGATAAAAACCTGAAGTCTAAAGTCATGGCTGAATGAGGATTGGCACCCAAATCTCCCTAGCCAACACTCCGACCACCACACCAACCTTTCCAACCAGCTGCACTCCTGCAGCTTTGGAGCACAACTCCCAGAACCCCTGACTGCGGGCCATGCAGGCTGGGGATGATAGGATGTGTAGTCCAGCACCTACCAGGAAGCCTGCCCTATAGCTTGTGGAGTGTGCACACTTAAAATTAAAAGCATCCTCAAACTAGCTACTATAGGCAAAAGAATTTATAAGGAGCAGTAGGTTCCTTTACAACCCATCTTTCCTTCAAAGATTTCAAAGTGACATTCATGGTTTTCTCCCTAATTTCATCATCATAACCTACCCATGAGGTAGGGTTTGGCTGAGAGAGTGAGCCTTATCTAAAATGTCACAAAGAACGATCCTTTGCTCACTTGAGCTTTGCTTAGTGGGACTCATTTCTGGGTAGAAATGTATGTATGTTAGTTGAGTGGGGATGTGAACCTAGGTCTCCCCAGTCCTGGCCTTACCTACTAACAGTTACAACATGCGAGATTGCTGGTAATTCAGATACACTGTCAGAAAATGTTACCTTACTATGTAACATAAGACTATGTCGATAACGTTAATGCTTTCCTTTACGATTTTTTACATCCTATTGTTAATATAGTAATATTATTATCCATCAGCCTGTTTCGTGTACTTCAGAACAGCAACAAAAGAGAATCCCGGAGAGTTAACTTGATCTATAATTCAGCTCAGAAGAGGCAAGGTTTGAAAGGCAGGAAAAGCGTGCAGGTGTGGGGGGAACGAATGTAAGCCGAGGACGGAGCCGCGGTCAGCTTCATTCAGGCCGTCGTGCGTCCCATCCAACGTACGGAGACATTTCTGAAAGGATGTGGCTGGAGCCAGGCCGAACCTTCCCGTAGGGGCCGAAGGCTAAGTCTGCATTCCCCAGTACATTTACTAGAGAGCGAGTCCTCGGCGACATAACAGGACTTACTTCCGAGAAAACGTGCCTAAAAGTGAGGAGCAGAGTGCGCCGACAGCGCCTTCCGCGGCTCCACCCGGCCTGTCTCTTTAAGAAGCCGGAGGTGTGTGGCCTAGACACGCGGCCCGCTGAGCGGCGATTGGTCGGCGCTGGCAGGAAGTAGCGGGCAGGCCGCCTTCGCGGTTTGTTGTCCCTCGTCGCGGGGTAAGGAGGCTGTGAGGGGGCGGGTGGCCGCGGCGTCTGGCAGCTGTTCCTCGCGTCTGCCGGGGTCCCTGCCTCGTCAGGGGTCTGCTCCTGATCCGCTGCCCTTGGTAGTGCTAGAGCCGCTGGCCCAAAAGAGACTCCGCCGGCGTTGCCTTCGCCGCAGACAGCAAGCCGCGGCCTGCACGCGATGTAGACACGAGATGTAGTAGGCTGTGGGCCGCCCGAGGCTCACACGTTGCCCTGGCGTTCAGTAGCAGGGTCTCAGATTTCCCGGATCACAGGCTTCCGTTTATTCTCTTTTTCTTTTCGTGGCAGGTGTGTTCATTGCCATAATGGCCCAGAGAGCCTTCCCGAATCCCTTTGCAGACTATGACAAATCTTTGGCCACAGGATACTTTGACTCTTCAGGGAGGGTGAGTTCTGCTGCAACTTTTAAACTCCCCCACCCCGCTGTGTACAGAAATGTGCTTTAAGGGAAGAAGATAAGGAAGAATGTGCAGTTGCTTTTCTGTTCATTTTGCCTGGTGGGGGTGCACTGTGTAACCTTAACATGCTTCAGTTTGCAACGCTTGCATTAAAGTCATGGCCAAATGGCATCCCACTTTGGAACCCTCTTAAGGAGCTCTTGGCAAGTCATTGACCTTATTTATCTCTTCTGTTGTAATAGAAGAGATTGCAATACTGTTGCAGTAGCCACATGACTCTGCACTGTTTGCACAGTAAAACCATTATGAAAGCATAAGTATTTTACTTTGAGTGCAGAGATGCTACTTGCCTGCGTTAGATAGGGTTTTCTATCTTCCTTGCTCATTGTCTTTCCCTTCAATGCAGTTACAGAGAATGCAGCATCTGATTACAAATGGAAGCCCATTACCCTGGCATCAGAACTATCTACATGCCAGCAATACTCAGCCCCCATTGATAGAGTGTTGCAGCTATTCACTCTTTGTCCATATTCCTCAGTGAGAGAGAAAAATGTAAACACCTTCAGGTATTGTCAGGCAAGACATTTCAAATTGTTAAGAGATTCCAGGTGTTCAGAGAGCAGCTAGGATTTATGGCTAGCATAGTGAATACTTAGAACATCACTGGGGGGAAATGTGCTGTGCTTACTATTTAAAGTACTGGTGCATTTGAACATTCAGAGAATCATACGCATTTGGCTAGTATTGCATTTGTTTTGCTCAGTATGGCACTGAATAAAAATGTGAGAATGCATTGTCAACTACACAGCTTAAACACAAAGACCTGTCTGGCTAATCAAGCTAAATCTCAGCCTCAGTTGCTACACCAGAGACATGTAATTCTGTGGTGTGCTTTAATCATTCTGGGCGATGTGGGGATCAATAAGGAGGCAAAGCTCATGAAAAGAGGTTTTGCCCAGGAAGTTCCAACAGTGATAGGCAATGCCAGTGGAGCAACTGACCTGGTTGTTTTGTATTGAAGTGGTAGGTGGTGGGAAGTCTTTCTCCTACCTACAGATCTCTGTGACTGAACTGAGAAAGCAGGCTACTCTTCCTCTTATATCCATGTGCATACACACTCATACACATACCCACATTTAGAGGCATCATGAGAAGGTTGCACTTCCCCAGTACTCATTCAAACCCCCTTCATAAGGGTCTGCCTGCATATATGGACCACACCTGTACACATTTCAGATTAGAAGCTTGCTTTGTAATTTTGCTGTAATTGCTGAAAAGCCAAGCTAAAAAGAGCTGATAACCTTTGAGAGAGGTGTGGCATGAGAACATGCCCAAGAAAACTAGGAACTTTGAGCTGCAGTCATTTTGTCAGTACCCTTCAGCAAGAGCTCACTACCAGCATGTCATCTTTTCTAAAGATAATCTACACTGTCACAGTAGGATTCATGGCTTGGGTAGTAAATGCTTATAATGCCATGGGGGGGAAGGAGGGAGTGTGCTCTCCTGCCTCTTTAACATACTCACACATCTGAACATTGAAAGAATCATATACATTTGAATAGTATTGTGTTTGCTCTCTTCAGAATGGCAGTATATAAAAAAATGAAGACATACTGTCAAAACTGGGGTCCTGGATCCTGTAAATTTATAGTGAGGATGTGATGGAATGGTAGCCTGGGTCCTATAGTCAACAGTTTAGCATATAAAGGTGCAATCCAAGGCATGTTTTACACTGAAAAAGGCCCACAACTCTCAGCATGCTCCAGCCAACTGCACCCTAATGCAAAATACATGTTTGCTTTTAGACAATTTATTTTTGTAGGCCAGACATGAATTTGAAATTCATGGTAGCTGCGCTTATGCCCCCATACAGAATGAGTGCATCTGATCCACTACAAAAGGCCCATTCAAATATACACAATGCCACTTTCTCCTATGCTAGTAGCACTCCCTAAAAGTTTGTTTAGACTGCTCAGTGCTAATAGCACAAAGCTGTGCGCTCTCTGGGCCAGCTGGGCTAATGAAGATTTTTTAAATGATTGGCTGGAATTAGGCAAAAGCTACAGTGGTGGTCCATCTAACATGGAAATCTCTTATCAGGATATCTAACTGACAGCACTTTATTTTCACCATTGGCAATGGTCTACATTCTTACTCAGCACAGTGCAAGAGCTACTTTCACAGGGGTAGAGCTGAGTGAATGACTCCACTGAGACGGAATGTTCTGAAGGAATCTTACTGGTGTCTGCAAATTCATTTATTTCCTGCTGCTCAGCTTCATTGTCAGACTTATAATTTATTTTTGTGAAGCAATTTAAATATGTCTATAGGGGAATAAACATGATGTTATGGTTCAAGTAATAAACTTCTGCAGCTTGACAAAACTACAGCAAAATCTCTTGATTAATGCTTGCCTTATTCAACAGTAAAATAAAATCATTACCTGGCACATTCTCAGACTGTATGGTTAAAGAGAGATCAATTGAGTGAAGGCGATCAAAAACTGGAATTTAAATGATATGGCTACAGAAACAATGGCACTTTCTCTAAAAAACTCACCATCCTACCTGTTAAAGTCATCCACCTATCTAGTTGGCATTCTTTGTATAGTTATATAAGGTAAACAGGCCAAATTAAATGTTATGGGGATAGTCATATTCTGTCCAAGTAAAGGAAGTGTCTCAAGGTTTGGGTGGTTTATACAGCATTCTGTACTGTCCTGTGAATAAGCCACAGTGGGTTGGATGTTTGCAGAAGAACCCTGGATGCACCCAACAAACAACTGGGGTAGTGTATCTCCCAGTGCCTTTCATGGCAAAGCCCAACCTGTCTTCTGTGAATTCTGATCACTATTCCTTTTCATTTACCTCCATTTTGTTTTATCATTTTCTGCAGCCTCAGAAAGTGCAATTGGGATTGCAAAAAAAAAAAAACAGCCCTTGAAAATTATGCAATTGTTCTTGTAATTTATTTTATTGTTGTTGGTGATCTTTCAGAAGTATGCTCCTATGGCTGTGTAGACTTGCCTAGTCAAGTATCTTGTCTGTTTCAGCTGTCAAAGGGAACAATTAAATGGAGAAATAGACTGCTGATTTGTGCACTGTTGTCAGGTGAAAAGTATCAAGAAAGTGAGGGAAGTGCAGAAAAGTGCACTTTCCTTTTCCACTTTTTCCCTTTCCCTCTTGTTTTTCCAATGATAACTTTGCAGCTGGATCCTAGTAACTGTACACAAACTAACCTGTGTGCAGTTTCACCTCATCAATCTGTTACCTATTCGACTCTCTTTGACTACTGAAAAAGACAAGGAAATTGTCCATGCAAGGTTATACATATTGCACATTATGGACAGCCATAAGAATGTACTTGCAAATGACTAACCACAAGAACAATTTACAAACACAGTGTGCAGTTTCCTGGGACTGGAAGAAAAAAATGGATGGCAAACTAGTAACGGTTGTTCCAAAGTACTAATTGGACATCTGTGCGGGTCAATTGCTGGCAGCAGCATGGGTGAGATTGTGAAAACTGGAAGGGTTTTTTTGGCTGATGTCTACTTCCCACAATCAGATAACTGTAGGTCTGAATGACATGGCAACCCATGGCTGTATGTAGAACCCATGGGTATTCAGTAGGCTTGGTCCCCCAAAATTAGCCACCCTGTGGGAAGTGGTTGGAATGTCATCACAGTCCCTGGTGGTTATCATATGGTATGGGAAGCTGAGACACCCCTCCACACCCACTTTAACTCCCCAGGCTGCATCAGGCACTTCTCTCATGCTGACTCCAATACCAGAAGGAAACTGGGCTGAGGGGAAAGCTGTTGCAAACAAAGTGGGGGAAGGTTTGGTGCCCTCTCTAATTTGAAAAAGTTAGTAAACAGAGGCAGCTGCCCCCCTTATATTGAGTCCAGAACCAAGCAAGTAATCTTCCAAGGGTTTCTTTGAGTATTAGCTTCAGCAGCATGGAAGGCACTCCGTAACATTGGAGACCCAAACTCACTTTGCGAGGGTTTGGCTTTTGACTCCTTCCCAAGTCAGTCTTGCTTCCCCGGATGATCCCCAGTGCTGCTGAGCACTGCAGTGCAGGAACGGTTTGTGTTGCAACAGTAACACCAATGCTACTGGAGAGCCTGCTGAAAGAGTCCCCACAAGCTTGGTTCGTACTTGCATGTTCTGTCAGTATGCAGGCATGCACTGCAAAATACATGAACCTTTGCATGCATTTTACTATACAACTGCAAAGGAAGTGGCAAACAGGTTGCCCCAGGTGTGTATAGAAGGCAAGTCAGGGCCAAACGGCAGGTTAGTGCTGAAGTGCATATTAACTTTACTGCTGTCTTAATTGTTCTAAAGATTAAGATCATTGTTTTATAACTTAAGATGTTATCCATATTGGGCTTTTTGAGGAAAGGCAGCATATCAATCTTTTAAATAAGTTTTAAGCATAGTTAAACACTTGCCCCAGAAGGAAAGCTTCCCTTGGCACCAATGGGAACTTACTTCCATGGGCAAATTAGATGGGGAGGGGATGGCATTTGCTGGCATTGCAGCAATGAAGTGTAGAACTAAAAGCCCTCTTCACACTGCATGACTCTGCTTTAACACCTTTTCCATGACAGGTAGTTTGCCTCTCAGTCTGAAAGACAGCATAAGCCTGGGGATTGAGTTTAGGAGTTTAGTGGTGTGATAATCCTTCCAGAATTGTGAGTTTTAGCAATTCTTTACACAGCAGCACAGACACACTGCTGGTTGTCGCTCTCAACACTTAAAAGTGTGATTGGGAGGAATGTGATCTGTTTGCCCAAAGACTAAATGAGTCTCCTTGGCACATGCTTGACTGCATTTGGAGATGCTCACCTCCCCTTCAGGTTGTTTATGTTTACCAGAGCAGACACTGGTGTACCCCACAGTGGTACCCTGTGCTGAAGCTCACCCTGCAGTAGATTTGTGGTGAGTCAGCATGGCCTGTCAAGCTGTTCCAGTCTGTTTTGTCAAACTGCAGCCCCTGATCAGAATCTACTGCTAAAAAATCGAGTAGCCTTCAAGGTCCCCTCAGGGAAAAAGTACAGCAGTGCTGTTGCCCAGAGGTAATAAAGGGATGGATAACCAAGGGATCATTGAGTGAAGGAATGCAGCTTTAAAACTAAGGCTGGGTTCTTAATCATTGTTGCTTGGAAGAATGGCTCATTGGTATCAGAGGATGTTAATGAACTTAGATTTAGCCTGATAATGAGTAGTCACCCCCCCCCCACACACATTCCCAGTCCTTTAAACTGTTGCTTAATCAGTTGTTTGTATTGTAGATATACCTGAAAGAGATCTGTCTCCCTTACAAATGCACTGAGAACTGTGAAGCAGTGTGTGTGCCATGTTCTTCCATTGTATCTCATTAAGCCACAGTGAGTCTGCCAAGACATAACACAAGTTTCTGTTGACCTTGACAGCTGACTCTCGAGTTCACACAGCACCTGAACAATAAGATCAGGGAGCTTCTCCAGCAGATGGAAAGGGGCCTGAAATCTGCAGATCCCCGGGATTGCACTGGCTATACTGGCTGGGCAGGTAGGATGATGCTCTTATAAAGGTCTATGAATTAAATGTCTGTGCTGTTCATTTGTCTGTGTGCTGACATTTAAGGCTCAAAAACTGCTTCTGTGATCTGATATATTAACTTGATCTTGGAAGGGGGAGTTCAAGATCTCACCCCCAAATCCTTACAGCTAGTGCAGAAAAGACTGCAATGGCTGCCTCTCCAAGGATCTCTGGACTGGTTCAAGCCCTCTTCTATCTCCCTTCGGCCCAGGAGGGTAGAGATACCTCAGAAATTTCTTTATTCAGAGGCTGATGAGCAGTGAGGGCAATGTTCTAAGGAATGCACCCTTAAATATGATTGCACTCTAAGGGATTCATAGCCCTACTTTCAACAGATTTCCAGGACAGGTAAGTTACAGTGAACTTGTAGAAGGTACAAGGGGATGCAATTCCTTGAAAGCAAACCCTTTCTCATTTCCCTGATGCTGAGTGCAAAAGCTTTGTCAGAAAACTGCAAGTAACACACATGGTCTTTCTGTTATCTTTGCATCCTTCTACCTCTGTCTTTCTGTTGCTTCCCCTTCTATCAAAGTTTAGACTATAAGCAACTTGGGACAGGAGCCAGTTCTCTTGTTTATCTATAAAGAATGGTGCATGTAGATGGCTGCTCATAGATTAATTAATAAATATTAATAATTTAATGTGAGTCTAATGTAGGCCTATTAGAATACTGCTGCACTGCAATCTACAGTTAGGAAAATTCAAACATTTATTTTAAAATCTGTTTATGACCCAGAAATCTGCTTGCATTTTGTTTGTGTTGAGTAACAGTTGCCGTCTGGAAAACAGATTGCTTTGTGCTTTAATGCAAGCGTGGGCTTACTTCTGTTATGTGGTCTACTTTAAAAATAGAAACTAGGATTCCTATGACCCAATGGCATGTTTATATTTTATAATGCAAGCACATATATTTGGGATTTCTTGGTAGTTAAAGCATAATAAATCTGCTAATTGATCCTTTTACTGATGAATGGAAGAAATGTGTTACTGGTTTGGATCAAGGTCGAGCTATGCCAGAGTTCTTTGCAAGAATCCCAGCAGCCAGTGGGCATTAATCAGTCCACTGGAAATTGACCAGTGATCTAGCTTCTGTTATTATTACTAAATGGAGGAGTGTGGACTGGAGGGCATGACTTGCCTGAGACTGATTTGGGAGCCCAGGCCCAAGATAAGGGCTACATTTTAAAACTGCCTAGTACTGTTCTAGCATATCCTGTGAGGGTTGCTGCTCACTCTGCTGTCTTCTTGATGAGTCAGTGGTTTGGCAAGTATGGTAGCTTCTCCTGTAGCATCATTCTGAAGCTGTTGAATTGTAGCACCATTCTGAGACCTGTTACCATTTCCTATGTAGCTGTTGAGGCTGGGAGAAACTGCATGTGGGGCAATTGTGCAGCATACACTTTTCCTCACTTATCAGTTCAAGTTCTGTAGAAGATCCCCCTGCCTGTACAAATACCTCAAATGTATTCTGTAGGTATACAACAGAACGGACTCATCCCAGAAGAGAGGCTCATCATCACTTGGCAGGCAAGTGTTGGCCATGCGTAAAGGCACTCTGTTGCAGGCTGTGTCTCCCTTCCCTTTCTGCATTTTGTAGAAGACAGGTTTGCAAATCTAGGCGTGTTTCATGAGTCAGCTGCCTGGAGCTGGGGTGGGAAATAAGAGTGACACATAATTTAGTGGATACGTTCTTAGCTTGCTTCCAGTGGTTGTAAGCATGTAAGCAAAATTAGAGAAGTCTGGGGAACCAAGCATTAGGCAGCAAACAGTAGTGGAAGGGCAGTGCTGGAGGGCAAGTTGAAGGTAAAATGCCATCTAAGGAGTCCCTGGCTCTTGGTTGGTTTCTGTGACCCTTTTTACCTGCTGCCTCTTCATGTTGCCATATTCAGTGCTCTAAAAATCTGAAGTCAAGTCCAGGTGCAGTTGGAGATAAATTGTACTTCCACAAGAGTTTCCCAGATTCCCAAGCTTATCCAGTGTCAGTGATTTAAGAATTCATCCTTCCTCCCCTTATTTCTGTTACCTTTACTTGTTTACCAAACTGCCTGCTTCAATGTCTAGCTCCAACTTTAGAAGTCATATGATAGCCACTGAAAGCAGGATCTTCCCTGTTGTGGCACCTGGTCTGTGGAGTACTCTCCACATACCCATTCAACTTGTGCTCCATCCAATGGCTTCAAACAGAATTATGCATTACCAAGGATTTGAGAGCTATCTTAAGTGACTGATAAAATAGCTGAATTCTTACATTTTCACAATCAATACACAATTAGTATTGGGTGCCATTATGTATGGTACTGTCTTATATGTTGAAAGGTGCCCAAAGAATGAGGTTAAAAGGCAAGCTTAGAGAAGTAAAATCTGAGTAGGCAGGCCAGATGTTTTGCTTGCGGAAGGTCGCAGCTTCAGTCCCTGGCAAAAGATCTATTGATGTGAGCCGCCCCGAGGCTTCGGCGAATGGGGCGGCATAAAAATGTTTTAATAAAATAAAATAAATAAATAAATCTCTGTGCTGGGAGATGCCAGGGATGCCTTGCAAGGCAACTTCCCATCAAAGCAGACAATAATGGAGGTGAGGCAAGCTGGAAAACTGACTGAATATGAGCATCACATGTTCATTGGAAAACTGCAAGGCCAGTCCACCTGCCAAATTGTGTAAGTGGTCTTTTATGTGGTGGGTGAGGGTACATGATGGAGGGGTGGGGAACCAATGCATTCCATCTGTTGGAAGTGAGAAAGTTGGCTGCTTTGGTTGCTCATTCTCAAGGACTGGACTTCCAAAGAATCATAATTGGAATGTGAAACAGAACTGTGGGGAGCCTAGGAATGTAGGCCAAGCCTAGACAGTGGGACGAGAAAAGTGTCTCAAGGGGAGACTCCCCAGGTGGGCAGGCAGTCCCTGGGGATAACCTGGATGTACCAGGAGGGGACCCAGAGCAAGGGAGTTTCTCAGACACAGACCAGGCCACCCCAACTCTTGCCCCCATGATGCAGTGTCAGCAGAGGAGGGCAGCCCAATGAGAGGATCAGTCCATGGAGAGGAGGCATGTTCGCTTTCAGAAGGTCCCTCTCAAAGGGATGGGGCCCAGGCATGCTCATAAGGAGAGTTCCTGGAGGTGATTACTAGATTGGGTTCATCAAACCTTTCTGAACATGCCCAGATTCATTCTGGGTGTTTTGTGCTGTTTGGGTCAATACTTTGCAGGGACAACAGTTTGTGGCTTTTGAATGCACAAAGGAGGAGCCCTCACTCATGACACAGTCCAAGAGAGATTTCTGGGATATCTTGCCATGTGACAGAGGTATGATTCTTAGGTCCTGAAAGGCCAAGTGTGACTAGAATTCACACCAGCATCCTCTACTGTCCCAACAGATTCTGGCTATACCTCTTGGCTTCAACAATGTGGTTTTTTAAGGCAGTCATTCTCTTGGGTTGACTTTGTTGGAACAAATATGCTTTTACATTAAGGTCCTAGTACAGCATATGGATTAGGGCAGGGGTTGGGAACTTTTAACACTCAAAAAGCCATTTGGACCCGTTTCCTACAGAAAAGAAAACACCGGGAGCTGCAAAACCCTTTTGACATCTGAAATGAAGATAACACTGCATATATCGTTTTTTACCTTTATGCTATGTATAAAAAAACTATAGTGTGTTGCATTTATGCAATCAATGAACTGCTACAGAGAAAACACATTTTTATTTCTGCATGCAACAAAAACATTTTGAACTCCGAAAAAAAAAGATGCTGGGTTAACCGTTACTTTCAAATAAAATACTCAGTGCCTATTTGAGTCCTCCTCGTATTTAGGAAATAAAAAGCCCAACTTAAATTATCCACCTGCAGCAAACTAAACATGCAACCTGCAGCAAACCAAAAATGCTGTCTGCTTCTGTGTGCCCTCATCCTTTTATCACATGTACTGGAGGGTGCAGTCAGCTGTCAACCTGAATAAAAAAAGGACTAACTGATACTTTCATACAGTAAGTAGAGTTTCTGCAATACAACAAATATAAATAATAGTCTGGTGAAATATTGAACAAACATCCCTTTCCCAGTGTAATAATGTTGCTGGAATTTTTATAAGAATCTTCTTAAAACAAGGAAGTAGATCTATATCTTCATTGTGATTTAGCTGCAGCTCTTGTTCAGTCACTAAAAACTGTTATTTTTAATCTTACATTATAAACTAATAGGACTCCTTTAATATATTTTGAATAGGAGAGCAGCTTCCTGCAGAGTCAGTGCTAAAGAGCAAACCCCATAAGTTTGTCAGCAGTAAAAGCAAACGAATCTACCCACGTACCATTAAACGTTGGGTTTTCTTCAGAAACTTTTCTTCAGAGATATAGGTGTGTTTAGTGACTGATTAGCAGATAAACAGTCAAGTGATGTGGATTGTGACAGGTCCCAAGCATGGCTTTTAACATTCGGGTGAAGGAGATTCCGTTTGGACAAAGAGAATCTTTTCAGCAGCGTTTTGTGTAATGTGAGAGTCTGCAGGAAGCTTGTTCCACTCTTTCCCTGCACGATAGCAGAGGAATGTAGCAATTTACTTAACCAGCTAGCGGGGCGTTCCTGAGTGGATGCCTCATCATCACCTATTGGTATTTTGTACCTCAGAGCCTTGGTCACAGATCAGCGGCTGTGCCTGTGCATGTTTTGAGACGGAACTGCAGCAGAGGGATTCAAGAGCCACATGTGGCTCCGGAGCTGCAGGATGCCGACCCCTGGATTAGGGCAATCACTTCAAACTCTAAAGAAATTATAGGCAATTATTCAGTTAAATTGGCATAAATGTATATTATGAATCAATGAACAGATTTGGAGGACAACATTAATTAAAAATCATTTTTAGAAACATCCATCCAAATAATTATACAGGGGTACCAATTTTAATCATTCAAAAATTCTTCATTAGGTTAACCGATCAACTGATATTTTCAGCCTAAAATGAATTGCACTTGTTTATTGAGTATAAGAAAACCTATATCTGTGCATCTTTGTAGTTTATTTTGAAGGCAAAATTTGAGTTTCCTCAGTACAGCATGTGGAGCAGAGGCGTGTTTTCACCATGCAATATAAATAGGCTGTTTAATACACTTTCTACAAGCATCAATGGTGGTGTGTGGTAGAAATGGCTTGGCCACCAAGGAGGTAGAATTCAACTACAGCCCATCTGTGTAAGGGAGAAAAATGCCTCAGTGCTTCTTGTTCTTCATTCTCTCCTTGTGAGTTCCAAACGTTGCAGACTTGTCTGACATGATTGGAATTGAGAATGAGCCTCAGAAGGATTTCCTCTGGGTCACAGCCAGAGTAATGGAATGTGTTGCTATTATAGGACCGGCCTGCTCTCCCTGCACCCTCCCCCCACCTCCACCTGGGTCCTAGCTTTGCTAATTTATTCAGCATGGTTTCAGGTTAGAAGGAATTAATTGGGCCAAGGCAACAGCATTCCATCTTAATCGCTTCTGTACAAAAGGGTTGTTGAGTATCTCCTCATGTAGATAATCTGCCAGCAATCTGAAATCAATTGGCACTCATGTGGCAGCTAATAAGAGCTATTGGGAAGGAATGGCCGCTGCTTTTTCTCTTTCCCTCAGCACCTCTTCTGCAAATGCTGATCTGTGGTAGCAATGCTTTGTCATAAAAGAGTGGGGTTGCCTTTGAGAACCTGCTTCTCACTAGCTTTATCCTTCCCAAGGCACCAGGCATTTCTCTCCTCACCCACTCCCTGCCATAACCAAAGATCAGTGTGACTGTGGTTGTGGGCAAGGATATTCCTCAGCTGCAAGGATCTCCCCCATCCGCTGATGGCAGAAGGACAAAGCAGGAGTCATTTTTGCCCTCCTGCCTGAACCTGGAATCCCACTGCATCCTGCATGCTGGAAGGAGCTGCTCCTTTCTAGTCTACTTGGGAGGACATGAGGGCAGTGCTGGGAATCACCTAGCCAGTAAGGGGATCTTGATGGTTAATTTGCCCTTGCCGTACTTGCAAGGCTAGTTCTCCTAAAATCTGAGCTGCAGGGTAGTGGAGCACAAAAAGAAACTCTTGTCCTCTTGCATCTTGCCTTGATTAAGGCAGTCAAAACATCTTAGGTTCCAAACAATGCTAAATATGGTATGCAAAAGTTATTGTGTCTGATCCTTGCTTTCTGTCATATGTGGTAAACATGTGCCCGAGTGCCTACAGTTTTGTTTGCTTTTTCTGAATATTAGAACTTATTAGACAGAATCAATTTATCTATAAAACAGCAAGTTGAATGTTTGCTTCAGAGAAGAAGCCTAAATATTTACATATGAAGTTGTTCTTTCACAGTGTCTGCTGCCAAAATAAGATTGCAGGTGGCAAGTCCTATTTGCATGTTAAGTGAAAATCTGTCTGTTGTCTTACTTTAAGTGAGTATTTTAATCTGTTATCTCTTTCTTTTGGCAAAATATTAAATTATGTTTGTAATCCATGTATTTTATTCAGGTCATTTTGCACACGCCTTTAGTATTTGCTATCTAGTTTAATCTGCAGTACATTAAAGAGGGTGCCAAATTTAGACAAGTCCTTTTGAGCAGCAGTTCACATGAGGGAACTTCTCTTTCTTTGCATGCTGTGTCCTTCCATGCCACGGACAAGAAAAAGGCTGTTAAAAAAAAAAGGAAGGATAAAAGGAAGCTCCTACACAAGCCTCCCCTATCTTGGTGCCCTTCAGAAGTTTTGGATTTCAGTTCCCATTAGTCCAGGGCAGTATGATCAATTCTTGGGGGTGTTGAGAGTTGTCCAGACTATCAGGGCAGCATTAGTTTGGGGCAAGCTGACCAGGACCTACTAAGGCAGCATGTAGTGGTTTATCAGCTAAATTGGGTACAGATAATATTTGCAAAGTGTGACTGTAAACATGATTGATTCTTTCAGTGTGCTGTACCATCTGCAGAACCATGAAAATCCAAGGTTTTCCTTAAAAATGGAAGGCTTTTTTTAACTCGAGTGCATTTCAGCTACTCATCCTACAAAAGGAGAAATTCTGGGTGACATTCCATTTGTCACTGCTTGGTTGGTCCTTTCTATGGATTCTTGTTTGCTAGTGCTACAGAATTTTCTCTCTATTTCCATTGATATACTCTCGCTCACACCTGACCATCAAAAATACAGAACATGGAGTATAAGTAGCACTAAGACAGTATTAACACTTCTTTCTTCAGAGAATCAGGAAGGTCAGCCATGATCACACTCTAGTGTGTCTAGGGAAGGAAAGTCTGTCTCCCCAGTCTTCTGAAGGCCAGAGGATGCCATGGCTCTCTTTCCACTGTAAAGTTAACTTGCCCAAGCGATTTTGGAGCTAGCTGGCTAGGCTGGTAATCTACGTATTACACTCTCAGCAGGTGTTAGTTAACAAAGACCTACAAAGTTGGGTGACTTCAAGAATGTACCTCTCCCTTCTCAGAAAAATAGTTAAGGTTAGTCACCTTTACAGGTGTGACTGATGGTAACATGCCTCTGAGCTGCCCTCTCTGGAAATACTAACACTGAGACTGCCTAGAGAGTGGACAAGGTTATTAACTTCAGTAGGAAATGGAAATTTGCCCTTAATATACATGCAAAATTGAATTGTCTGTGGTATGAAGCTTTGGAGATAACCCATTCAAAATGAGAAAATGTTCTAAATTTAAAAATATCCTCAATACAGGGAAAGTAATTTTGAAGATGGCTCTCCTTCCTTCCTTCCTTCCTTCCTTCCTTCCTTCCTTCCTTCCTTCCTTCCTTCCTTCCCTACATCGAAATCTGCCGACATTGGCTATATTAATTTAAACTGATAGAGAGAAACCCGTGTCATCTTAAAAATGGTTAATGAGATGGAAAGTGCACTGTAAGATATAAAATGAGAAATCTGGAAATGTTGCAGGCCACTGGGTCCCATGATATTCCTTGTGGAATTCCTGTAAGCCACACATCTTTTCAGTTCAGATTGGTTTTTAGGCAGGATGCTCTGTCTGCTGTGATAGACATTTTATACAAAGTCATGCTGATTGCTTTTCAAGTGCACATAACATTGGCCATAGCTGTCCCTATTTAGCAAGAATGTTCCCTGTTTTGGGATAGCCAGCTCTGGTAATTACCCTAACCCTAACCCTGTTTGTTTCTTTGGAGGTATTTAATGTCTGTCTTTGACAACTCGTGCTAATTTTTTTTTTTTATTCAGGTGGCCTACTGTCAATATCTTTATGAAGTTAGTAGTTCACCATTTCCATTTTTTAGGATAAGTAATTGAAAGTTTACATCTCTGAAGGATTACAGAATCAACACAGTATTGACACTGTGATTGGCTCTGCCTCAGCATGTGTTCAGTTCAGGATTAATTGCCCCCTGATGAAGGAACTCATTCTTGATATGGTTAAGCTTAATTTTTGGCATTGCTACTTCTGTAACAAGCAGGTTGGCTTACCTGATACCTCTCCTCTTCATCCTCCTGCTCTAATATAGCACTATTAAATCAGTGGTTCAGAAGCTGTGGAATGTACCACTCTTCATATTATAGTTTGTATAGCACTTTTTTTTTGGTGCTTTAGTGTGGAATAATGCTTAACATTTATAAGCACTTCTAGAGTGTTTAAGGGACTTTGTTTAGATGATATTGTTGTAATCTTTGCAAGAGCTCTGTAAAGTTGGGTTAATGATATGCTTTCCATATCACCAATAGGAGGCTGGGACCAATATGTAGTTTAAAACATTGGGAGGATCCCAACTCCCATCAGCCTCATCTGTATGGGATTTGAAACTGAAGGAGTATCAAAAGTGGGGTGTAATCACAGAAAAGGCTTCTGATGTTCCAAAATGGTATAAAAGGCATCCCCATGGGCATGCCCAGATCCTGGATTATGCCTAAAGTAGCTATCTGACATCCAGCAATTGTCTATAAAGTTTCCATAAGAATTTTATGCATCTGTTACAGTGAATGTCAGAAATGCAGTGACAGTAGCCATTCACAAGGGTATTATCCCAAAATAAATATCTATTTCTGAATCTTTCAAAGACATGCCAGTGAATGTTTGTCGTCAGGCTGATAGTCACTTAAATGCATTTCTTTACTTTGAGACACACATTCAATATGTCTGGAATTGTCAACATCACTGGCTGAATGTCATCACTGACTAAATTTTTAAAGAAGAAAGGCAGGGGGAACAAAACTGAATCATTACATTTCTGTAATGTTATGTGGGGTTAGGGGTGGGTTATTGGACAGTTTTAGAAAATCTGACCATATCTTTGACCCATATTGTAATGTGTTTTGCTGGAATAAATATTGAAATGTCAACTAATGCAAGATCAAAGGGTTAATTTGGGTGATCTTCTGCCTTTCCTAAACTTCTTTGCAGGCATTGCTTTGCTATATTTGCATCTGCATGATGTGTATGGGGACCCATCCTACCTTCAGATGGCTCAGGAATATGTAAAGAAGAGCCTTAGTTGCCTGACAAAGAGATCCATCACCTTCTTATGTGGGGATGCAGGACCTTTAGCGGTGGCTGCTGTAGTATACCACAAGCTGCAGAACAACAAGCAAGCGGAAGATTGCATCACTCGGTAATATCTCTCTGCATGCGTGCACTGATTCTCCCCAGCCAGGCTAGGCATGCTGTAATATCTGGAGAGCAGGCAGAGGCCACTGAAGGACCATTTTCATCCGTTCAAAACGTAGACGTAGCTAGAGAAGGACATATGCAGAAATCCCCTTCCAGCATACAGCATTCTTTATTTCAGCCTGAAAAAGCCAGTACATTCTGTTGCCAGTGCAGGGAATATTTGCTGTACCATTTGGGGAGGGGTGCATTAATTTTGGCATCCTGGAAAAGGTAAGTGTGGCCAAATTGCTTAGGTCTTCATTGGTTTGTATTTATGTCTAAAGGGCTTCTGTGTTTTGTGTAATCCAGCTAGCTATCTGTTCCTTATTTATTTATTTGGTATGTTTGTGTGCCTCCTCTTTACCTGTACACTCAAGATGGTTTTCCATGGGAAACAATGGCATACCATCTGCCGGACATGATACAGCAGGGAAAGGGCTGGTGAAGGAAGAGGAAGATAGGCATGTTTCACAACCCATTCCCACATCACTTACAATGCCTAGGAGGCAGGACCACCAAGTTCTGGGTGACGAGGAGGTAAATAACATTTGCTCCCCACTAGGTGGCTGGAGCAGGACCTGTCATCTCACCCCTCCCTCAGGTATCCTTGCTGATCGTATGCCTGAAATTCCTCACCCTTTCCATACTGGCACTGTGGTTTATGTACCATGTACCAAAGCCATGACAGCAGAGGTGCCTTGGTGCTTTCCCACACAGGTGGGAGCACAGCTTGCCAGATTCCCTTTCGCTTCATCAGAGTCTGCATGGATACTGTCACTGCAAACAGAAGTTGCTCAGTAGCTATACATCATGGATTGTTTTTCTGACCTTGACCATGCAGCAAAAAGGTACATTTTATAACAAAACAACTTCTGAACATTACTTCATTTTCCTCTTTCCCCAATATAGGCAACATACTGTCTATATATATTTACCACATTCACATTTCCTGTCGCTGTTGTCCATATAAATTTAAATATTCCCAGTTGTCTGCTGATGTACCTCTCTCTGTTTTTTAGAAGGCACTTGCAACATTCCGCCTTCCTTCATGCACACACATTTTGGAAGTCTATTCAATTTGTCATACTCTGATACCACATTGTAATGTTACCAAAAACATTGGAGGGCAGCTTGCATATTGTCATTCTGATGTGACTCAAAGCCCCAATTTTAAAAAATTAAACCTGATCACTGGAGACAGAAGCACAGTCTCGATCCTAGCAATGAGCCCACTCCTTGTTTTAGTTTGGGGATTGCTTCATTCCTTCTACAAGTAACTTCTGTGGTAGTGGAAATGCAGACCAATCCCACACTGCCATCTAATGGTGTTGTGCCAGTAGAACACTGAAAGCAAAGAATTGTAGCACTAGGAAGAACCATAAGAGGAAGATGGATGCAGTGCTCCCAATGTTTAAACCATCCCTGAATGGTACTTACCGAAGGTGTTCCTTAAAACCTCAAGGGAAGGAAAAATCAGCAGGCAACTTGATCAGTCTTGTTCTTACAAGTTAATCTTGACATCATCCTAAAATATTTATTATCCATCATGAATTTATTGCCACTTAGCCACCCCCAACTCTCTCTCCCTTTAGCATTCTGATCGTCTTCATGGCAGTTTTATTACATATTTGAAAATTAGTGCTAGGTCCCTGTTTTAATCCTTTCTTTTCTCATTGAAGCATGTCCACCTCCTCTATTCCTTCCCAATATATGTGGTGAGTTTTTGAACACTTTTGATCATCTCTTCTCTGAATGCTTACTGGTATGTGTGTGCCAATTGAGCTTCCAGCCCGTCCTACTAAAGGATTATTATTTCTCTCTCATGGCATGCACATAATCCTTCCATTAAACGCAATCCAAGTGGGTGTTATTTGCCTCTCAGCCATTGGCTTTTCTTTGGTGGCACTGATCTCTGTGGAATTTTAGTCTATTACAGTGCTGGAGAGAAAATATGTTGGAAGGAAGGCGCAAATCACATTTGTTTCTCTGGCAGTGCCAACAGGGAAGCTTGTGTTTCGATGCAAAACATTTCCACAAGATCTGCTTCGATAAAAGCTTGCTTTTTTCCTTTTTGCCAGTTGTTCATTACTTTACTTCATTATCTCCAGCCTTCATGTTCCTTCAGATTTGACTTTTTATCAGCAGAAACTCATTTCCCCAAGCCCGTAAGGGTATATCTTTTAAATGCACACCAGTGTGATGTGTTGTATATAATGGCATACAACAGCTGCTCATCTGCTTGGTCAAAGGTTGTGGCATCAGCATGCATCTTAAAGAGAAATGTTTTTGTGTTGAAATCATGTCCACAACAGCCCTCACCATAGAACTTTCTCATTGTAAATTTATTTTAAAGCCTTTCTTCGTCCAATTTGTGGTCCTGCTAAGAGCATAACAGCTATGCAGGATCAGATGAAGGGTCCATCTAATCCAGCATTCTGTTAACAGAGTGGCCAGCCAGCTGCCCACAGGAATCCACAAACACAGCACAAGTGCAACAGCTCAGATCACCCAGTGAGCTTCATGGCCAGGTGGGGACTAGAATCTGACTCTCTAAGTACCGGTCTAGCACTCTGACCACCACACCCCACTGGCTAGCCAATTTTTTTTTTTTTTGCATGCAAGAACATTTAGAGCACAATCTTACTCATGCATAGATAGAAAAATAGTCCTGTCATTCTCAGCATGCCCCATGGCAGGCTGATGGAAAGTTTTTACTGTTGAAATGAATGTAGGATTGTACCTTTGATCATGTAGGCTGAAGGTACAAGCCCCAAACAAAGGTTTATTCATTCCAGGGAGAGCTAGGCCAGAAAGCCTTAGCCACTCTGGTCCTCATGCTGGGCTGACTACTGGCGTTTTAGCCAAGTTGGAAACATGCTTGTTATTCCCCTCTCATGCAGCAGAGATGTAGATGACATGATGTGAGCAGGGAGGCAAATGAAACATACTACTTATAGTGAGAGATCTAGGGCAATTTCACTACAGCAGCTGCTTCTCCAATTTGACAGAATGCCTGAGCAGCACCATATTTTATGTAATACTTCAGCTAGCCTTTGCTAAGCATTCCTAATGCACTAATGCCATCAGCATCTGCCTGGTAAGAAATTTTCACTATGGGAGCTATTGGGCACATACCCATCTTTTCCCCCCTCAGAAACAGCTTCTAAACAAAGTAGTGTTATTGACTGCTATAGCTAGCTGTTAAATCAGAAGTCTGTGCAGCATGCATGACCATGTTACTAACCCAAATTTGAAATTCCAGAAATAGCATGTAATTTCTCACTAAATGTGACCCCCTTACTGGAGGATGGGAAGGCAGTCAGTGTAACACTTTATTTTTCTAAATGAATGCTAAGGAACAAGGATGTTCCTGGCCAGTAAGCTTAATGTGTGCTCCAAGTAAATTGGTTTAAAGTAGAATTATTCAAAATGTAGAAAATAAATTTTGCCAAGAAGAATTGGCTTGGTTTCTGCAAGGAGGAGTCCTACCACTCCAGCCTTTTAGAATTCTATAATAAAGATATGCATCAAGGAATTCTGTAGTTGTATAGACCCTAAGAAGCTGCAATTAGAGTCCTTTGCCAAATCGTTCTGTGTAAATTTTGTTGTTGTTAGTTGCAAAGTCCTGTCCAATCCATTGCGACCCCATGGACAACATTCCTCCAGGCCATCCTGTCCTCCATCACCCTCCGGGGTCCACTTAAGCTCACGCCAACTGCTTCCATGACTCCATCTAGCCACCTCATTCTCTGCCGTCCCCTTCTTCTTTTCCCCTCAATTGTTCCCAGCATTAGGCTCTTCTGCAATGAGTCCTTCCTTCTCATTAGGTGGCCAAAGTATTTGAGTTTCATCTTCAGTATCTGGCCTTCTAAAGAGCAGTCAGGGTTGATCTCCTCTAGGACTGACTGGTTTGATCTCCTTGCAGTCCACGGGACTTGCAGGAGTCTCCTCCAGCACCACAATTCAAAGACCTCAATTCTCCAGCACTCAGCCTTCCTTATGGTCCAACTTTCACAGCCATACATTACAACTGGGAAAACCATAGCCTTGACTATACGCACTTTTGTCGGCAGGCTGATGTCTCTGCTTTTTAGTATGTTATCTAGAATTGCCATAGCTTTCCTCCCAAGGAGCAAGCGTCTTTTAATTTCTTGGCTGCAGTCACCATCTGCGGTGATTTTGAAGCCCAGGAAGATAAAATCTGTCACTACCTCCATTTCTTCTTCGTCTATCTGCCAGGAAGTGATAGGACTGGATGCCGTGATAACCGGATGCCATGATCTTAGTTTTCTTAATGTCGAGTTTCAAGCCAACTTTTGCGCTCTCCTATTTCACCTGCATCAAGAGGCTCTTTAGTTCCTCTTCACTTTCTGCCATTAGAGTGGTATCATCTGAATATCTGAGGTTGTTGATATTTCTCCCAGCAATCTTAATTCCAACTGGTGATTCATCGAGCCCCGCCCTTCTCATGATGTGCTCTGCATATAAGTTAAATAGGCAGGGCGACAGTATACAACCTTGCTGAACACTTTTCTCAATTCTGAACCAATCAGTGGTTCCGTGTCCAGTTCTCACTGTTGCTTCTTGACCTGCATTCAGGTTTCTCACGAGACAAATAAGATGGTCTGGGACTCCCATCTCTTTAAGAACTTGCCACAGTTTGTTGTGATCCACACAATCAAAGGCTTTAGCATAGTCAATGAAGCAGAAGTAGATGTTTTTCTGGAACTCCCTAGCTTTCTCCATGATCCAGCATATGTTGGCAATTTGATCTCTAGTTCCTCTCCCTCTTCGAAATCCTGCCTGTACGTCTGGTAGTTCTTGGTCCACATACTGCTGGAGCCTAGCTTGCAGGACTTTGAGCATAACTTTGCTAGTGTGTGAGATGAACGCAATGGTATGGTAGTTTGAACATTCTTTGGCATTGCCCTTCTTTGGAATTGGAATGTAAACTGACCTTTTCCAATCCTGTGGCCACTGCTGAGTTTTCCAAATTTGCTGGCATATTGAGTGTAGCACTTTTACCTTTACAGTAAATAACTTTATAGTAAATACCAGCTATTGAATAAGGATGGGGCCAGTCACAGGTCAGTAATTGGTTAAAGAACTGGAAACAGGGTTATTTTCACAGTGGAAGGAAGCAAGCAGATCTATGGTGCTTAAAGTATATGTAAATTACCTGTATGTGTGGTGAGTTAGCTAAGTGTGCAGATAATACCAAGATGAAGAGCACCTAAGCAGACTGTGAAAAGTAACAGAAGAATAGCTCCCAATTGTATACATGGACAGCAAAACTATAAATTGAACTCAGTATAAGTGAGCATTGGATTGTGTACAGCACAGTGAGGGAGTCAGAATGGGCACAACATCACAACTTCCTCTAAGCCCAGAAAGAATCTGAGCTGTGGTGATTAACCAAGACAGAGATTGTGAAGTTTCAATGGCTGTTCAATGAAAGGATCTGTTCAGTATATGGTGCACCAAATGGAACAAGATCCATATTGGGAATTTTGGGGAACACGTTGAAAAGGAAACAGCCTGTGTTATATTGCCTTTCTATTTATTGCTGGTGTGGTATGCAATTCTGGTCTTCCCCTTTAAAAAATTGATATTGTAGAATTGGAAATATGTCAATAAGGACAAACTAAACTATTAAGAACTTGCAGCAGCTGCCTTAGGTAGAAAGTCTAAATCATTTGGGGTTGTAAACTTATGTACGGCATAGTACAAAAGAATACATTTTTCTCTTCTCTTGTAACATTAGAACTAAATGAAATTGTCTGGTTCTAGGCAGAAAAGTGATGGCACATCTTTTTCAAAATGTATGAGAAACTAATGGGATTTGCTGCCACAATTTGTGGTGGTGGGGATAATCATTAGCATAAATGGTTCAAAAAGAGGAGTAAACCAACAAAGAGCTCTGAAAGCTTCTAAGGGCAGAGACAATTTTAGTTGTCTTTTATTGAGTACATTTATAGGCCACATTTCTGCCAAAGCAGTCAAGGCAGTTTACATGTTAAAATAGTGGTAACAGAGGGGGAAAAGATCAGTGAAGAGAAAGGAATATAACTGCATTACTGTACTTTCTCCTTTGTATGGTTACAAGATAAACTTATGAAATGCCCCGAAGGAATGATCACTGCAGGAACCACTTCTGGGAGGAAACAAGACAAATGCTCTCAGCTGAGCTGCAGAACTTGACTTCACTTTCCTTGGTTGTAGTTCAGTGCAGTCTACTACTGAGGAACAAACTTCTGAATTGTTTGGTTGTGTGAAGGTTATTTACCCTTCTGCTTAGTAAAAAAAAAAAAGACCCTTAGAATAGCTTACAAAGATCAGTAACAGTTTCTGCAACAGGCTTGCAATCTAAAAGATACACCACTTATACATGTTACACAAGGGAAAGAAGATCGGAAAGGAAGAGGAAAAAAGCAAACTTGGGTACTTGGGATGCTGGACTATTAGTCGGATCCAACAGGACTCCCCTTACATATGTTAGTGAGTTTTTAAAATGTGGTATGCCAAGAAATGCAAGTGAAAGTGAGCACCCCATTGTGTTTGGTGTGATGTTGAAAAGACTTCAAGTGCAGGAGTCCTTGCCTTTCTGCACTTCCCATTTCACCCCTATCTTGTCATTCTCCTCTTTCTCCAACTACTAGGAGTGGTGCAGGCATAGTTAGCTATCTAAAAGCTATTTAGAGCCTTAGTCTTAGTCCTGAGATCCTAAATAACTGCAATTGTAAATCCTTATTCCAGACAAAATTGCTTATCCTCCTTTTTCTTTTAAAGGGAAAAATGTCTGTGTGCCCCTTGTCCAACTCTGGACTTGCTCTAACTTCATTTGGGGCTATGGTTCCTTGCCAGTTTTCTCATGAATTTGCCAAAGTGGCCAGAAAACAAATTGCTTAGAATATATTGTCATTTTTTAAACAAGGGCCATTTTCTCTGTGAAAGGAAGTTGTTCCCCCCATCCACAAGGAAAGCCACCTACCTCTTTTGTGGGGAAATGACAGCAGAAGGCAAACTTGGGAGATTGTTTGCATCTTGGGCTTCAGAACTAGAGGATCAAAAAGCCACCAGTTGCACTGATACTGCAGAACTAACCCCAGTCCTGCTGGTCTGGAAGGGACAAAGGAAGGACCTCTCTGGAGCCACGCAGAAGCCATTGCAGTGCTGACTATGGTGCTTGCTCTTGAGCCTCCAAAGACCCAGTTCAGACGTGCCAGCAGCAGAGTGGCCCAGCTACAGCCCTAGTTTCCCCCATTCTAAAAGGCCAAAATCTCCTTCTTAAGGCCTTGTTACCAACAGTAGGATCTTGCAGCTACAATATGCTGATACTTCTGGTATTGTTCAGCCTGCGGCCTCCTGCTTTCACCCCTTCCTGCCACTCCAGCATTGAACTGGGCCTTCAGGCTGAAAGAGTTTCAGTACCTCTGTTCTGTGGGAAGAGTGTTGGTTGGCTGTAATCGGGCCAACTCAGCAATTATTATTACATTAATCCAATGTTTGTCATTCATTAATGCACCCCAAATAGTGGGCTGTGAATCATTTTGTGTGAGAATTATTAAATAGTTGTGTTACTGCTTCAGTTTTTCTCTTCAAAGTTTGCTATTCAGATACACAAAACAATTAACAATATTGGATTTTCATTATTATTTTAATTGAAATACAATATAATTATAAATGGGATACCTATACAGAAATACACACATGAGAGCAAGCGCATGGCATCTGAAGCAACTCCCCATGGTTTGTGGAAAGTATCTGGGCAAATGCCTGATACCTGCAGGGCCTGTTAGTGAAGCATTTGGTGATAAATCTTCCCACCCACCTGCCACATCCATGCCATTTATAAATTCTTTACAAGTGTAATTCTCTTCTATTTGCTGTCTGTTATTGAGTGGTTCTTTGTAGCAGAGAGTAGTGCTGTAGCCTAATTCTGTTTAATAGTATGCATGTTTAAAAACAAAGCTGCCTCTGGCTCAGAGTCCCTCAAAGCGCTGCCTTTCTCAGAGGGATGGAAGCGGGAGCCCAGCTCTGCTTCGGAGCCTAAAGTAAATGTTGCTGTTTGTTGAGATATATTGTTATTTGTGGCCTTTCAGCAGGTTTTGCATTTTGCTTCCTTGTGACTTGCAGAGAAGTAATCATGCAAGCAAGGCCTCTAAGTTGGTAAAATCCCAAATATATTTATTCAGGTGGCATGAGAAGAATGTCCTGGGACTCCCTGCTTTGCATAAAGAAGTTTTCAGTGTAGGATAGCAGTCACACATTGAATACATACGTATCACTGCATATGGTGAAACAATTCTGCAGGTATCTTATTTATGCAATTCTGTCTCTAAACAACTCTGCAAGTCTCACAAATATGTTTGTCTTTCAAGCTTGCTACATCTGTCTAAACTAGATGCCCGAGTCCCAGATGAGATGTTATATGGACGTATGGGGTATCTGTATGCCTTGCTGTTTGTGAACAAACATTTTGGAGAGGAAAAGATCCCTCAAAGCCATATCCAACAGGTAATGCGCCATTTTCTTGCTGCACCCTGTGCCACCATGGCATTTTGTGATCATGTGGAGGATTGTAGGAGTGGTAGTTACATGCCTGGAGAGCCCCACGTTGGGGAAAGCCACTGCATGGCCTCTGGTTCTTACAGAGCATGGTGCTGGGCTTGAGGAAACAGCAGAGAGTCCTGGTTGTGAGCCAGGAAGTCACTGGTTCAAAATCCCATCCGCCATGAGTCCACGAGATGCCTCAGGGCCCCCGCTGATGTTACCAAAGTCCCAGCTGCCATGCAGTGATCCTAACATCAACTTCCTTTACACAGTTGTTGCCAGGATTGCTGAGCTAGATCTTATGAAGGACTGTGTGAATGTGCTCTATACAATGCACTGTGCATTCTCATCTTGTGTGCTTGGAAAGAAAACAAATGATGTCAGGGGGTAGGGAAAGTATCAGTGTGCCAGAACTGAAGTCAGATGGTGCATTCTGTGTGTCTTCCTCTAATGCAGGGGTGTTGAACCTTCAACCCAAGGGCCAAATCTAGCTCATTTGGGATCCCAGTGTGGCCTTTTGACTGGGGTTGCCCCCTTCCCTTTGCTACCCCAGGGACCGTTGTTTGGTGGATAAATGCTTTTGCTCAGTTTTTACCCTTCATTCTAAAAGGCTGAAATGCTTCTTTTAAGATTTATAGCATTAACAGCTTTAAGCTAAAATAAGTTGGTATTTTGGGCCCTGTTGTGTCCCAGCCTCCAGGCAATATCTCAGGAGTCACTCAGAAGCCTTTTATTGGCACAGTTCCCTGCAAGAGTGCCCAGTTCTGCCAGGGGCACTCCCAGGCTACAAGTCCAGGCTGTTGGGGAGCCCCTTATGCCTCTGGGAGCAAGCAGCTCATCAGCTCCGAACTCAGCCGCCCCGAATGCAGTGCATTCCAAGCCTCGCCACCACCCTTCTAGAGCCGTAGGTGCCTGGAAACTTTTCTGGCCAACGATCTGTGCTCTCCTATGGGGCTCTGAGAAGCTACCTGGGATTATTTGCTGGAGAAACATAGAAAACAGAGCGAGTCAGAAGGGGTCTCCCGGGCCATCTAGTCTGACCTCGGGCACCAGCTGGCTCTGCTCACGACATGCCCACCATGTGGACGTCCAGCCTATCCTTGAACACCCGCACCGATGGGGCCTCAACAACCTCTCGTAGAAGCCCATTCCACACCCTCGGGGTCCTAAATGACAGGAAGTGCTTCCTGGCATCCAAACGGAACCTTGGCTCCCTGAGCTTTGCTCCGTTGGAGCGCGTTCTGCCTTCCTCTGCAGGGGAGAACAGGTCTCTACCCATCTCCATGTGACATCCCCTCACATGCCTGTATGTCGCCAACATATCCCCTCTGAGTCTCCTCTTCTCCAGGCTGAAGAGACCCAGTTCCCTCAGTCTCGCCTCATACGGCATCCCCTGCAAACCGGCCACCAACCTTGTGGCCGTAGGCTGCACTGACTCCAACTTGGCTATATCCTTTCTGTAATGAGAGGCCCAAAACTGAACACAATACTTCAGTTGTGGGCGCACTAGAGTCATGTAGAGTGGTAGTAATACCTCTCTTGATCTAGAAGCCACACTTCTGGCTATGCAACCAAGGGTGGCGTTCGCCCTCTTGACCACCGCATCACACTGCTGACTCATGTTTAGCCTGCAGTCAACCAGGACCCCGAGGTCCCTTTCACAAGTGCTGCTCTCCAGCTACTTATCACCTAACCTGTACTTATGACAGCTATTCCTGTGCCCCAAGTGGAAGACCTTGCACTTATCCACATTGAACGCCATCCTGTTGTCTCCTGCCCACTTCCATAGTCTGTCCAGATTCTTTTGGATCTAGAGTACCTGCTCCTCAGTTGTGGCCACTGCTCCAGTTTTAGTGTCATCTGCGAATTTGATCAGCAGACTGTTCACCCCTTCTTCCATGTTGTTAATGAAAAGATTAAACAGGATTGGCCCCAGGACAGAGCCCTGGGGGACCCTGCTTGTCACTGGCTGCCATCCCGATGATTCCCCACTAATGGTTACCTTCTGCTTTTGGTCAGTCAGCCATGCCCTAATCCACTGGGAGTGTATCCCAAAACTCCTCAGTTTCTCCACCAGGATATCATGGGGCACTTTGTTAAAAGCCTTGCTGAAATCCAAGTATACCACATCCACTGCATCCCCTCCATCTAGCCATCTTGAAACCTTGTCATAGAATTCCACAAGGTTTGTCTGGCAGGACCTGTTTTTGCGGAAGCCATGTTGTGTGGCTGCCAGCCTCCCTTTCCTATCTAGCATCACTAGATCTCTCTCTATTTTGAGCCTTTCCATTGTTTTTCCTACAATGGATGTAAGGCTAACCGGTCTATAATTCCCCATATCCTTTCTACTACCCTTTTTGAAAATTGGGACCACTGATGCCACCCTCCAGTCCTCTGGAATTTCAGATGTTCTCAACGAGGTCTCAAAAATGGAGGCCAGCGAGTGCGAGACAACCCCTGCCAACTCTCTAAGTACCCTCGGGTGTAACCCGTCAGGGCCTGGCGCCTTTGTAATGTCCAATGCCCTGAGGAGCCCCTCGACTTCAAGGGAGGTGACTCTAATCTGTGCCCCTAAGTCCCCAGCCTCATCTAATCTCCTATGCGGATATCCCCCGTCCTGCTTTGGGGAGAACACAGAGGCAAAATAGTCATTTAGCATCTGTGCCTGTTCCCTCATATCAGTCACTGGATCTCCTTCCTCCTTATTTAGTGGTCCCACCACTTGTCTCCCCTTCCTCTTCCTATTTATTTGCTGCAAGAAGCTCTTTTTGTTGCTCTTGATATTCTTGGCAAGTCTCAACTCATAATCAGCCTTAGCCTTGCGAAGAATCCTTCTGCAACGGGCCTCCTCCTCCTGGTATACCCTTTTGTCTATTTTCCCCAGCACCCATTTCTTACAGAGGTTATTCTTTCGTCTAATCCCTCTAACCACCTTCTTTCACATCCATGGCGACACTCTCCTCCGCCTCCCCACCTTACTGACTAGAGGCATCATCAAGGCTTGCGCCTCCAAAACCTCCCTTTTGAGTGCCATCCACCCCTCCTCAACTCGCTTACCTTCCAGTAACCTATCCCAGGAGACTTTCCCCAGTCTGGCCTTCCGTTGGCCAAAGTTGGCCCTCTTGAAGTCCCAGTTTCTAGTGCTCGACCTGCTGCCCGTCCCCAGTCCCCTGATCTCAAAGCAAATGATGGAGTGATCACTTGCATCCAGAGCTCCCCTAATCTGTACTTCATCTATCAGCTCCTCCCTATTGGTTAAGACCAAGGCAAGGATGTTTCCCTCCCTTGTCACCTCTCCAACCCTCTGTGTGAAAAACGCTCCCTCAATAGCTTCTAGGAAGCGACGTGACCTGGCTGTCACTGCCGAGTGAGTCTCCCAAGTAATATCCGGGAGACTGAAATCTTCCATAATTACTGTGTCTCTCCCCTGGGATATCTTTAGACTCTGGCCTGTCAGGACATCATCCAGGGTCTCAAGTTGACCTGGAGGGCGATAACATACCCCCACTATCAGGTCTCTTTCCCTGTCAAAATCCCTAAGTTTCACCCAGACTGCCTCTACCAAATCCCCACCTGTGCTGCATTCTATCTCACTGCATCCTATCCCTTCCCTGATGTATAAAGCCACGCCCCCACCTCTCTTTCCCTTCCTGTCCTTTCTAAAAAGGTGATACCCTTCTGTGTTCACATTCCAGACTTGCCTTTCATCCCACCAAGTTTCTTTGATTCCCACCAGATCATATCCCTCTATTCCCAGGAGAGGTTCAAGCTCTTCCTGCTTATTACCCATGCTCCTAGCATTAGTGTACATGCACCTCAACTCCTTCCCACCGCTTCCTTTCCTTGGAGTTCCCAGCCTCCTTCTTCCTCCCTGATACCTGGCCACTCTCTGTAGGAGTCCTGTCAGTCCCTACAATACTTCTAAAACCCTGCTTCCAGAGCCCTGATCCTCCCCACACACTTGTCCAGTGCAGACACTTTACTGGGGGGCCTGACCCCCCCCCCCCCGGCTCAGTTTAAAGTCTTCCAGACGAAGCTCACTTGACCATTTCCAAAGGACCTTTTCCCTATCCTCGTGAGGTGTAACCTGTCCCTTGCCAGAAGTCTATTGGCAAGAAAACGAGTGCCGTGGTCAAGGAACCCGAAGCGTTCCTTCTGGCACCACACCCTAAACCAGTCGTTCACCTTGGAGGCCCTCCTGTCCCTTCCTGGCCCAAATCCCTGGACAGGTAAGATTGATGAGAAGGCCACTTGGGCCTTCAGCTCCCTGAGTTTCTTCCCCAAGGCCTCAAAGTCCCTGGTGGTCCCACATCTTCTGAATCGCTGTTGCTCCTGGGTCCAAGCAGGGGATCCTCCCTCCAGCCGCAGCTCTGCCGGGCTGGGCATTTCTGTCCTGCCCAGTTTTGCGGCCCTGGGAGACACCGTGGCATGCCTTCTCCCGCAGGGTCACCCTCCTGCTGCCCATTGCTGGGGTGGAGGGCCCTGGTGGATCCGCAGGTGCCTCTGCCCCATTCACCAGGCAGGGAAGGCCAAACCGAGCTGAATCGCCTAGCCTCCTGTTCCCTTAGCTGGACTGGACACTCCTGCTCTGCTTAGACTTAGGGAAGGCCCCACAGGCCTCATCTGTTTTGCCTTCAGCCCCAACCACCACCAGACTTCAGTTCTTGAGATGAGAGGGGAACAGCACCCCTGCCCTGTTGCATAAAATGCCACTGGCTAGCATTTATGTGTCAGACTCTCAGTCCCAAGCTTCCTGAGATTTTGGGTCCATCCCACTGTCTAAAATAATTAGACAAGTAATTGCTGCCACACACACATTGTCTGTTGATTATGCTTTTCTTTGCCATTGCAACTTTCAGAGTATCTTTCTTAGAGCAGGAGCCTGTTGCTTCTGATGCTCCCTGCAGGTTTGCGAGGCAGTTGTGGCATCTGGCGAGGACCTGGCCAAAAGGCGGAACTTCACAGTGAAGAGCCCCCTGATGTACGAATGGTACCAAGAGTACTTTGTGGGAGCCGCTCATGGTCTGGCAGGGATTTATTACTATCTCATGCAGGTGAGAGACATCCAGCAGAGTTGAGAAAGCCCATTCTGACTCATCTGGGATGCTTTGTGTTTATCTCTTAACAGAGGCCAAATGCTTCATCGCTATGAAAGAGCCGCTTATGTCATGTGGCCCCACGAATTCTAAGTATCTGGGAATTTATAAAGAAGTCCCTTTCAGATAGCACTTTGCTACTATAAAACAAATGTGCAATAAAAGTTATTTCAAAGTACTTCAGAGTAGAATCAGCAGGATCCAAAATCTAAAAAGAACAACACAGGAACCCCTAAATTAGATCAATTTAGATCTAAAAGCTTGGGAATACAGAGAGCTTTACCGAAATAGCATCAAGCAGACATCCATGTAGAGAACATTGCATAATTCAAGGACCCTTACTGAGAAGACTCAGTCACCGGTGACCACCCACTGCCCTTGAGGTGGCAGATCCTCAAGAAGGGCTCTGGATTAGGAACGTGGGGTGTTGGGAGGAAAGTACTCCTGCAGGTCTCCTGGGTCAAAGCAGAGGAGGGCTTCCAAAGTCCAAAGCTGCATGGTCCCAGGAGCAAGTTAGAGGCCGGTGCAACTGTCAAGGCACTGCTATAATAAAAGCCTAATGTCTGGTCCCAGGCATGCTGCTGTTTTTGAATTCTGCTCCTGTTTTAGTTGTTGGGTTTTCTAAAGTGTTCTTTAAACAGCAACTTCCTGTTTTGAATGAATGCCTGAAATTTAAGAGACTGTGTATACATTTCTTAAATAAATGAATACACGGCCCACACTCAGCCAGATTCACATCGGTATTTTAATCTATGGAACATCTTGCTGCACCTCCAAAACCTGAAGAAGTTGGGAAACCCCCCAAAGCTGTGTCTTTGATATGCCTAAAACTGGCCCTAAAAGCCAGTTGAAGTGGTAGCCTGTCCTTGATTTAACTGAACACTCATTTGTCCATCTGTCTGTCTGTCTCAGCCCAGCCTTGGTGTGAGTCAAGCCAAGCTGCACAACGTGGTCAGACCAAGCGTGGATTACGTCTGCCAGCTTAAATTCCCCTCTGGCAACTACCCCCCGTGCATTGAAGACAAGCGGGACTTGCTTGTCCACTGGTGCCACGGTGCACCTGGTGTTATCTACATGCTCCTTCAGGCCTATAAGGTGGGTGGCTGTCCGGAGAGGGTTGGGTAGCAACAGCGGTGGTGCCCCGCAAGCTTTCGCCCCTCCTTAGAAGGAGGTGGTAATATTTAAATGCAATGATTCTTCCACCCCCAACTAAAATGGAAATTAGACTTTTACAAATGATTCCCGAAGATGTCTCCGTCATGCATCCTGAATGCGGGATAGTCTTATTGCTCAGAGTTGGCCATGTGTCCTGTTCTGTGGCAGTTGACTAATGGTGACAGCCAGTTGTGATTTAAATAATGGCAACGTGCCTTGCATTTATCACTCCAAAAATCTTTGAAGGTAAATGGCAAAGTCACTGTGTTCTTGTCCAAGTGAGCAAGAGAGAGAGGCCACTCCTTGACAGAAGAGCTAATTAGCAAAAGTATGCCCGAGACTTGCACGTCCAACCTTGTCTCCACAGGTGTTTGGGGAACAGAAGTACCTCAGTGACGCCTTGCAGTGTGCTGAGGTGATCTGGCAGTGGGGGCTGCTGAAGAAAGGTTACGGGTTGTGCCATGGTACAGCTGGCAATGCATATGCTTTTTTGTCTCTCTACAACCTCACTCAAGACATGAAATATCTCTACAGAGCTTGCAAGGTGAGCAGCAGCAGCACACGTACATACGCAGAATGGTGTATGGGATGAACACGCTTCCTTGTGCATCCTAACTGAATGTGAATTAATGCACATGCAAACAAGATCTACTTTCAAAACCTGGAAAATGAGGAACTGTGGGCTGGTTTCCTTCTCACTGGGGGCAAGGGTGAAGTGAATGGCAATTGGGATTGTGTGGATTTTAAAGCTACTCATAGGCTCAGAAAGGGCTCAGAATTGCCTATCCCTGCTTTTAAGTGTTTCCCAAAACTTAGGAAAGCATGGGCAGTGGTCACATTGGGAAGGCTGGCCACTTAGATGTTGCAAAATTCCTAAGTAGGTCACAGTGATTAAAGCAGATTACCTGTTTTCTGGAAGTCTCAGAATGTGACTTCTAGAATGTGTACAGTGTAGTGATGAATGGGAGTGGGAGAGGGGAGTGCAAAACATGCAAAAATAGTCTCCATTTCCTCCTTCCATCAGAAATGTCAGGACAAATATCAAGACCTTGACAGATTTAAGCTATAAGATGGGTTCTTTTCCTGCTTTGCCTCTCAGACAGTCCTGTTCTTTCCAAAGCCCAATGAAAGGTTTTCCATAACCTAATTGAGAGGAGAGCTGTCCACACAATGAAACAATCTAGTTTGTAAACCATGGGTTATTTTGGAGCAAACAAGCATGCTGGCTCTCAACCACTGGCCCACTTCCTGTACCCTGGACAGCTAAGGGACACTCAAATCCTGGGTTGTTGTCTGTGATTTCAAACAAGTAACCAAGAAACACAGCTCAGGAAATTCCTAGAAAAGGCTTGTAACATGCAAGCTGTTTCAGCATATCTTGAGACGTACCCTGTAGATTTGGCTCCCCTTAGGAAGCAATCTGAAGCATATTTGGACCAAAAAAAGTTCAAATATGGAGCTCCCAGCATGGACCGTCTAAACATAGGATTGCATCCTTAAAATGTTTTATCAAGTAGAAAACATTCAAATAGCAGACTGAGAAATGGTGGTCAGTCTCTCACTAAAATTATGGGTATTGATACCATTTTTTGTCTCATGTTAGTCATTTTCCATAGAAAGACTTTGACAACATATGGAATGACTTTTTAACTGTTTTCTTCATCAAGTTTGCAGAATGGTGTTTGAGTTATGGGCAGCATGGGTGTCGGACACCGGACACTCCATTTTCTCTCTTTGAAGGTAATCTCCACTTTGCTTTCCACTCTTTTAACATTTGTTTTCAAATGTGAATATATAGGCATGGCAGTGCTATGATGTCTAATGATGGAGAACTGAAATATCATGGCCCAAAATTCTGCATCAGCTCACTAATGTCCAGGTGATCTAAAAATGCAAAAAGACAGACAGACGGGGCCAATGGTCTGTAGATGATGGTTGTAGCAACATGCCATAGAACAAATATGTCTGCCACCTTCTGGCCTTCTTGTTGCAATACTTTGGGCTGAACCCCTCACTGATTCTGATGTTCGCTTGGCTCTTTTTCATGCACAGTTGAAGCAGTCAAGGGGAATCAGAGTGTCATTTGTCTTGGGTATTTTGGGAATAGAAAGTGTCCAAGGGTGAGCAGCGTGTGGCCTTCCAGGTGTTTGGCCCTCGACTGCTGCCATCCCTCTCCATTAACTAGACTGGTTAGAGCTGGTGGGAGTTGTAAGCCAAAACATGTGGGAGCTACAGGTTACCTTTCCACAGCCTGTACCCTTACAAAATTCTGGATTTGGTCTCCCAGTTGATTGGTCTTCCCTAATGGTATGAGTACTGCCCCTAAGCACTTACATAATGCATGTGCATGTGCATTCTGAGTTATCCTTTTAGTAAAGTCAGGATTATCCCAAGCTACTACAATGTTGTGGAAGGGAAAGACCAGCTTTCTTGAAATCTGGACTTCCTCTTTCACTGTTTTGTCTCTTAAGGCTCAGGCCAGTGGGTTCTGCCCCAATGCTTGGAACCCTCCAAATTCAGAGGCTTATGAACATCCACTGCAGGGTGGGAGGAGGGGCAGAGGTGACCTCTCAGCTTTGCCCTTATTACAGTTCAGTTCAGCAGTCCTTCAGAGTGGGAGGGACAGAGGAAGTGACATTGGGATATTGAGTATTTTGGTGGACCAAGTCTCTCCTCTTCTTCCGCGCTCTTTTCCCCCCTTTTACTGTCTCTCTGAGGTTGATTTTCTGACCTTGGAGAAGCAGGTGGTTATGGGTGTTGGGAGGTATCAGAGTGCAGATTCCCAGCTCTGTGGCCAAACATTGGTGTCTTGTCTTGGATCTGGAAATCTGTCTGTGGGACCACAGGATTGCTCCCTTTATTTTTTTATTTATTTTATTTATTTTTCGATTTATATCCTGCCTTTTTCCTACAAGGGGCTCAAGGCAGCTTACATCTCCTCCTCCATCTTATCCCCACAACAACAACCCTGTGAGGTAGGTTGGGCTGAGAGTCTGTGACTGGCCCATAGCTGGCTTCATGGAATTCACTCAAAACATCTGGCTGCCTTCAGGAATAAAAATGTTGACCAAGAAGCAGCTACATGGGTTTGGGTGGCTGCTCTTAGGCTACCAGAACACAATCTGCAGGATCAATTTTGTCTGCTGCTGCAGATATAAGGAGACAGTGCTTCATACACTTTTCTGTACATAATTTCTGTTGTCTGTCTTTTGTCCTCAGGAATGGCTGGAACAATATATTTTCTTGCTGACCTGTTAGTACCAACCAAGGCTAAGTTCCCAGCTTTTGAACTATAAATTCAGTCCCAACAGGTACTGGCATGTAGCTTCTTGCACTTCATTTATTTCGACAAGGCAGGTTAAATCAGCCATCATCTCAAGTCTTGTCTAGCGAAACAAAATCTTTGGGGCTATCAGTATCTATGTTATATTCAGTGTCTGATCCAGTTTTAAAAGCTACTAGCCATTTAATTTTTGAGCATTGTTCAAGTTTACAAAAGAAGAAAATGGCTCTTAAAGCAGGTAAATGTATAATTTTGCTGGTGCATTTAAAAAACCCTTAAGACTTGCTATTTTGTCTCATTTTGAGCAAGGCTTTTATTTTATTAAACTTTTTCAGTTTTATGTACAGTGCTACAATTTCACTACATTTGTAAAGGATAAATATATGGAGCCCAACTACTTTTGTTGCTTCCTTTTCAATACCGATAGGACAGGTAGAAATGTATGGATCTAGCAAGACTGTTTCCCTGGGGTGTCTCTCCAGGAGACTGCAGACTAACTATGACAGGAATGTACCAGAGTCCTGTTTTAAACTTTCATCTTTGTGTCCTGTGCAAAGGCTCTGTTGATTGCTTCTTGCTTTGTCCACAGCCAGTGAGTAAGCTTATAACCCTTGAACTAACATGCAGTGTTTTCAGTGACTTATTTAAAAGCTGTGGCACCCAAGCTACAAGAGGAGCCTAGTACATCCTGATACATAATGCCATGAAGATTTTTTAAAAATGCAGTTGAGTTGGAACCAACTTGGGGTTTCCATAGCACAGCAGTTTAACATGGGAGTTTTGACGGCAGCCTCTTGTTAGTCTGATCTGGGCTACTTAATTGCAGAGTCTGCTCAAACAGGCCAGAAGTGCTTCTTCCCTTCAGGTAGACACGCAGCATCGAGCTGACCTGTGCCCTTTCACGCGCTACATAAACCTGAGTGCCAGGCAGCTGACAGCTTCACTCATTCCACTTAATGGTTGGAAGGAGTTTTGCAGACATTTTCATCCTATATCAGCTTATATGACTTTATTTTCCAGTACCTGTTATAACAGGCAGCCAAAACTTGGTCACTGCAGCCTGATTATTGTCCTTATTTGTATGAAAACAGCATTAAGCTCATTAGCATTATTTAGCTGCCTGAGTCAGGTTCTATGAAAATACTGCTGTCCCACTGACTTTCAGACAAAATGTTTCCAAGATGATTGTGAGGGCAATTAACCTGAAGCATTTAAAAAGCTAAAATGCCTGTTGCTGAGCGTCATGATTGTAGCCATTAAAGCTGCTTTGGATAAATACTGTTTTGCATTTTTTCTGGAACATTAAGTGTACTGTGAACAGCATGATCCCAGTAGCCCTTTCAGAGAGAGGAGTCCACTGAAAACTTAAATGTGTTGTGTAACTTGGCCCTGCAGCATCTTGCCTGTAATTGCAAGTTACCATTGCTCTCCAAGGGTGAAGTGGGACTCCATAGCAAGATATGGAAAATTGGGAAAGGCGGTACAATTTTCGGAAATTCGCACATGGGACCAGCACACAGATTTACTTGCTCCAAAGCACTGGTTGTCCCCACACACATCTGTTGCACTAGGAACTCAGAAAATTCGCTGTTTTTGAGGAAAATGCTACTTCTCTCAGATAGAACATTGGTGCCACATTTTCTGATGTTTGAAAGCAGCAGGCAGAAATATTTCATGGGCTGTACACTGCAAGACACAGAATGACCTTTACTATTCACTGTGCACCTCTTAGGCTGCAATCCAATGGAGCTTTTTCTGAGTAGTCAATCATAGGATTACACTGAACATCCTCTTTGGTCCTTTGAGGGACAAGGCAGTACTTATGCTTAGTACCTGTGCTCTAAAAACAAGCATTCCTCCAATTAGTAAACAAGAAAATGAAAAATAATAGTTTTTGTTCCTATGGCAAAAAGTTCAGTAAACTGAATCTGCGTATTGGTGTTGCAACTACACAGCTGTTAATCTCTCACAGCTTTTATAGACTAATAACAAGAAGCTGAGGGAAACTCTGCCATCTTGGAGCACCTATGCTTTTGTTACGGTTTTAACATACATGTTAAGGGTACCCCTTGCCCAAATATTTGCTGGGATAAAGTGTTTGTCCTCCAGCAGGTGGCAGCAACGGTTTTTTATGTCTCATGGACAGCCACTAGGATGATGTTCAATAATGATAAGTTAAGTTGCCAAATCCCAGAATATATTTGTCTCTAAAATAAAAATTCCAGAGCCCTGTGGCACCTCCCCAAATACAATTGATGAAATGTAAAAGCTTTTCAGACATGGGACAATTGAATAGGTTGCTTCCAGACTGAAAATTCATATCACCAGATAGAAGACATTCTGCAGCTATTCTTATCCCCCCCCCCCCCCCCGGTAACAGGTTTTCTGTGGTAAGGAAATGACAAAGGAAGCAGTGCAGAAACACAGGAGGATAGGAGTGGAAATGAACTGCTATGCATTCCATGAATGAGGCAGAGCTATGATCTGATAGAAGCCTGGTAGGGAATTGTAAAAAATTATGCTTTTCCATCCAAGTCAGGACCCCACCTCACCCCACCCACACACAACCTGCTCTGCTAAACTTCTGTGTAACAGGCTGTTTTTAAAGATAGTGGAGCAGGTCTGTTGAAACTTTACTTGGTGGTTTTGTTCTTCATTTTCCTTTCTGCAGGATTCCATGGGCAATCGGGGCTACTTCATACATTTCCACTGTTGTGTAATTCCTTCTAAAAGGTGTTATGCTGCAGTGTGATGCTTCCATGTGTCTGCTGCTGCCAGCAAGGGGTTCATACTAGGTTACAGCTGCAAGGTGAAGGCTTTACCCTGTGGAACATAATTAGGGGTGCACCCCTCTGTTGTGGTGTATGGGGCAGCCTAGCCAATTTCACAAAGGTATGTTCGTTCGTTTTGTAAAAGATATGCATAGGTAAACAAGAGTCTGATACATCTTCAAGTATGCTGACTATTTAAGGTTAACCCTTTGCTTCATGACAGCTGTTAGATCTCGCATTCCCTTCTGCTACCCGTTTAAGAATGCTCCCGCCTCACTTTTCCAGGAAACTGCAGGAGATTCGGCAGGTTTGTGGTCTGTTGGTTGAGCATTCTGTTCATGTCTGAAGCGCTTACAGTCAACAGCTGCATATACAGGACAGTAACTGGCAGTGGCTTCCCATACATGGCAAGTCCTGAATCCATCATCTGCTGCTTTTTTTAGACGAAATGAATATATACCAGATTGTAGGACAGATTCTTCTGGAGGCTGATCTTGTCCACAACACTTTGGTTTCATGCACAGGAGGACTAGAAATGGCATTGTGTATTGAGCGCAGGTAGAACACACTGAAAGGAAATGTCCTAAATTTTTGCCACTGCTTACAAGCCTCCTGCTGCAGGGCTTTACCTAAAGTGACCATTTTGGTTCAGGTAAAAGAACCCTTAACTGAGTCCCACAGTTATGGGTGGCCATTTGGACCTTATTTGGAGGAGTGCAGGGAAGGCAGCTGTAAGAGAAGCTATGCAAGGTCTACAAACTGGATCAGGCTGCCCAACTTTTCTGCAGACATTCCTCATGGCTCAGGCATGTGCAGCACAGGGTGCTAATTCTGACTGGGCTATGCTTGTCCAGGGGTGGTCTCCATGGGGACAATTTGTGGCAGTTTCTACCACAACTGTAACTGATACCTTGCAGGGTTCCTCTTCATCCAGAAATTCACTTTGAGCCAGGCCCATAAAGCCACTCCTTCAGCATGTAGCAGCACCCTGGACCAGAACCAAACCAGTATTTCATACAATGATCTTTGGCCCTAATTGGGTTAACTGAGTCATCGGTCATGTTTCCAGCATTTGCCTTTATTTCATTTATAGTCTCCAAATTGCACTGTACAGATCTTATGTCAATGGCATTCATTCCAAGCAGAACACCCTCATTCTCTTCAAGAAGGCATTTGGGAGCTGGATTCAGCCTGCTTTCTTTCCCCATAACCTGCTGAATCACTGCATGCATGTACCTTCCCTGTATACCTCCGGGCTTACTAAAACTCAATCAATGGAAACAACAAATACTTCCAAGTATAGGCAATATTATTTCAGTCATCGGGTCAGTCCCCATACACCTGAGATTGTGGGGTGAGTGCTTGCACAGCAATAGTTTGCTGGCCAGGCATGTGTTAACCCTGCCACAAACATCTCTTTTGAGAAGTTAGGTAGTGGTGCTAGTCTCAAAGAGAAGAGGCAGCAGAGAAAGGTTTTGAGACTGGAAGAGCCTGTATGACCTTAATTGCTCCCCTTTTGAAATGAATATATATACACTTAGCAAGTAAGGTGATAGCTTTTAATCGGCCCCATTTGTAAAGATACACAATTACACAGCTTCTGTATTGCACAGAACTCTATGAAGCAGTCAGCTTCACAAAAGCTTCCATTCCCTGGTTGAGATGTCTTTGATCCATTACACATGCTTTTCATCTTGTTCTGGAATATCTGGTCACGTCACTAATTGTGACAGAAGATTGATAGCTAAAGTTGTGATGCTCTGCACCTTGGAGTAAGCCCCATTGAACACAATAGGAATAGACAAAGGATGACTCTAAAAATTTATTTTGGATCTTTTACCTTACCTTAGCACAAAGCTCAGAGGGGTTTACAACACCAAAAACAATACCCATAAAATATACTCTGTCTTATAAATATGTGTATATATTGCAACACACATTTTTTTAAAATGTTAGTTCAACTTTTCAAGAAAGCATTTTCCTGCTACAATGCTAGCTCAAAGAAAGACATGCAACAGCAATTCTGCTTTAGCAGAAACCGGACAACAGGCAGTCACAAGTTCTGCAAAGCACTGAAGCCCTAATTTCAATTAAGCCCAACAAGAACATGTGGTTTAGACTGAGGGGGGGCAGGGGGCAGGAGTGTCCCACATGCAAAACTGTGGCGTGATACTCGTGGGATACTATCTAGCTGATTCAGTTTGGTCTCTCTCCCTTAACTGCTTTCCCATCATCCTGGATTACCATTGAGGCCAAACAGGCATGTTTAAATTAAGCCTTTATCCTAGAGGGAGGTTGGGCCACAGCACTGGCATGCTGCTCCCAGAATTCAGAATCTCTGCTAGGCCATGCAAGATAAGCAATCATCCCCTGCTGAAACTGGAGACATCCTCTTTCATACATTGTCTTCCATTTAGGTTACCCAATCATATGTATGCCTGGAAGACTAAGATTCAATGGAAAACTGAAAATCATCAGTTGTTGAGTGTAGTCACATCTTTTCTCAGACTGGTAACTGAAAATTATGCATTTGTATTGTTGCCTATTTCATAATAAAATACATAATAAAAATGCAATGCAAGCAGTAATAAAACAAAGAATTGCATCAATCACTCCCATTGAACTCAATCCATAAGTTTGCATTAGTATTTGTGCCTTCCGTTTGCAGTTAAATCACTGCTTAGTTTATTCTAGTCTGCTTCCTTTGTGTGTGCTTCTTACAGGCATAAATGTATGTTCTAGTTGGTTGTAATCTACTTTTTCCTAAATATATTAAATATATTTAAGAGCTTATCATAAGTTAGGAGCAGCACCAAAGGCAAAACTTTTCAAAAAGTATTTATGTAAGAATAATGAAGTCCAGACTGTAAGGTAAAGGTAAAGGTTTCCCCTTGACATTAAGTCCAGTCATGCCTGACTCTAGGGGGTGGTGCTCATCTCCGTTTCCTAGCCGAGGGAGCCAGCGTTTGTCTGCAGACACTCTCCGTGGTTATGTGGCCAGCATGACTAAACACCAAAGCACACAGAACGCTGTTACCTGCCCACCAAAGTGGTACCTTTTTATCTACTTGCATTTGCATGCTTTCGAAGTGCAAGGTTGGCAGGAGGTGGGACAGAGCAACGGGAACGCATCCCGTTGTGCAGATTCAAACTGGTGACCTTTCAATCAACCAGCCCAGCAGCACAGCGGTTTAAACCACTGTGCCACCTGCAGTCCCTTCAAGAATAATGAAGTCTAGACTGTAGGCACATGCAGAAAAATTGCGGTGAATGCCCCATAATTTTAGAATTTTCCCTTGAGCCTCTGTTATACATCTGTGTGTCCATGCAAGACGTTTTGATTCAACCTGGTCAGGGATAGGCTAGGATAATGAACACTTTGCAAATAAAATAATCACTGGAAATAAGTAATATTACTACCACAAGGGTGGTAAATATACTTGTGTATTGGATGAAAGGTCATTGAAAGCCTCCGCATATTCTGCGTTTTCCTTGAATCCACTCTTTGGAACCCTCCTTTATCTACTCCTGCAATGCTGCTTTAATGCTCTGAAATTTATAGACCGATATTTCTGTGTAAGATGATGTAGATCTCCTACTAACCACCTCTGATCTCACTGGATACATGAGAAGCAGAATGTGCCATAGCGTTCCTAAGCTATGTGCCACTTAGCTCTATTGCTATATAAGGTCTTGGGGTGTCATGGATGGGCACTTGAAGAAGATTAATAGACTGACATGGGAACAAGAGTATGTTAAGAAGTGCAGGAGGCATCTAAATTTATATTTGATGAAAATAATTACAGTCCCATTAAGTTTATAGATTTCCAAATGATTCATGTGTTATCTAGAAACTCAGATCATTGTCAGGTAGATGCCTTCTACCATAAAATACTGGCTCTGATCCTGCAGTCACCTGACTGAGGCAGGTGCTGAGGCATGCCTGGTCTTTTCCTTCTGCAGTTACCAACAAGAAAATAATTGGCTTACCTCCCATCCTGCTCCTACTCAAGGAAGAAGGGAGCTAAACAACCACTTACGCTTCATTCTCCACAGACATTGTTCTCCACCTGAGGCAGAGCGCCAAATGACGCCCACTCACCCAAGCCAAGGTGCAAAGTGCCCTAAGTCAGATTTTCTCACAGGAGGCAGCAAATCCTGCCAGCATCTCTCCCCCATCCCTGGCAGTAAAAATACCCTCACTGCCAAGGAAGGGGCTTCCATTTGTGACACCCCAAACCTGAGCCTGGGCTGGCTGGCTGGCTGGCTGAGCCTGCTTCCCCCGCAGAGAAAGGCAGCTACACTTACGAGGAGCCAAGCCTCCGCGCCATCCTCTGTCCTCCCGAGGCAGTGCCCTTGGGGCGGTGATCTCTGAGGTGAAGAGGGGCCTGGACTGGGTCCAGCCACGGCATCCCTCCCCCAGACAAGGCATTCAGCAGTCAATGGCAGGGGGAACTGATGCCAGCTGAACCTGTCTCTGCCAGCCGTACATCTCAGCACCTTGTGGTCTGCTCTGCACGGGGGGTCTGCTTAGGTCCCAAGATTTTCCATCTTTCATTACTTTAAAATGCTTTTTCTCTCGCCTTTAAAAGATTCATGGCAGCTAACACCAGCAAAGTAAGAACCATCCCATAACAAATCCTTAGAAGCAGCAGGTAGGAAAAGTAAGCAGAAGCATCCAGTAAAAATATATTGTCCCACCCCATTCCATTTCCACTTATAACCAGATTTATGAGGGTTATTTATCTTTTCTAGCAGATAAACTTAACGTGTGCTCATCATTCTCTATGCACAGCTGTTTACAGGTTCTTTGCATGACATGGTGATCCTCCAGTTGCACTTCAAAATCTAACGAGCATTTTTGTTTCTTGAGAGTAAGGAAAGAAAGCACACCTTCCTCTTGCATATTTGTGCTATTCCACAGGACCATAGTGCCACCTAGTGGTTAAATTGCAGGAAAACAGGAAAGGAACACTTTTCTTGTAGTGATCAGACCTCAATTCAGCAATGAAACCAAAAGTAGATACAGCAGATGAGTGGCCAAGTAAAAGGCTGGTGTGGAAATGCTTGCTGTATCAGAGGCAGTTTCCCCCTCTCTAAACTGGTGTGCACACACTAATTGTCTTCCAGTGTGCCCCCTCGCACACAGACACATGCACACTGAATGACCAGATCAACCAGTTTGGTTGAGGCAAGACCAGGCAGTGTCTGTGTGACCCAGAGGAGCTTCTGTAACTCTGAAACCGGGGTTGGCTGTGCCAGGAGGTGCAGGGAACTGGCTGCCTCAAGGGCGGTGGGGGGTGGGGATGGCCACTATGGAGGACAGCAGAAGCATCCCCTCCAGCTGTTCCTCCAGAGCCCTCTGACTGTGTCCTGCCATGAGTGTCACCACCCTGTCTGTCACTTCCTCAAGTGCCCCATTGCCCCCAGGCATGCCAGAAATGCTGTCCATTAGCAGGACTGAAGTACATTGCAGCTGCTAGGCCTCTGTGCTTTTCTACCATCTTTTTTCAAGAAGAAAAGTGTCTGTCTATCTGTTTTTAAGTGAAGTCAAATTTCATACCCTTTGAGATTGCACAGATAGTGACAGCTACCCTACATGATCCTTACACAAACCACATTCAGGTCCATTTCATTTTTATAAATGGTAGCTGTGCAGTCAGAATTAACCAGAAAGATCATTCAACAGACTGATGAAGAATTTCTTACAGAATTGTGAGTGAGCAGACTTGGACCCAGCAAATCTTTATTCTTTTGTGCTTGTGACAGTAAAGCCTCTAGGTCTAATTATCTGGGGTGATGTAAGAGCACTGAATGTTCATGAACACTCAACCTGCCTGTTAGCAGCCAAGGTTCACCATCTAAATGCCTGGGGAGCAGGGAATGTGCCAAATCCAGTCTTCCCTCCTTCTCTTCTAGAACATTTCTCTAAAGAAAAAGCAAGCCTAGCTATGCCAGATACCTGTGGATACCAACCTTTGAGCTAGTCTGAGGCTTGACTATACTGCCCAAATGCCAAAGCTTTCCAGGGGGTTTACCCAGATTAAAAGTCAGAGAAATACAGTTTTGCAATATATTATAAGATCCATTTACATGCAACATATAAATACACAAATACATTTTTAACAATAAGAAATCTCAAGACCTGTTAAAAGCCCTGTCCTATGCTGTCAAATGTCTGAGCATAAAGGGATATCTTAACCTGACACCAAACAGGTGACAAGATTGGTGCCTCATAAACTTCACCTGGGAGATTGTTCCTGAATGGGGGGCCACCATAGAGAAGGCTCTCTTCCTTGTTGACATCCTCCTGGCTTGCCTCAGAGAAGTCACTCAGGAGAGCTTCAAATGGTAATCGAGATGTTTGGTAACATTTGTGCTGGAAGGGGCACTCCACCAGGTATTCTGGTTCTGAGCCATGTAATGATCCACAGATGAAAACCAGCACCTTGATCCAAGTTAGGAAATGTGCAGGCAGCCAGTGGAGGCAGGCCAGAATGGATTGTAGATGCTATATGTTATCAGCCTGGCAACCACATTTTGCACAAGCTGTTTTTTCAGTCTTCAAATGCAGTTCCACATAGAGGGCATTGCAACAACCCAACTTGGGGTAGGGTTAGTGTGAAGGTGGATAGTTGTCAGCGCACAGGTGCTTGAAGCCAAATTACCCTGTACAAATGGGCTAGTTAAAACCACACAGAGTACGTGTGGATGGAAAAACTGTTTAAAGCAGGCTATTATCTGCAAAAACTACCCATTCTGCAATCTTAAATCTGTCATTGTGATACTTTTTCTTCAGTAACTGGGCAAAGTTTTATGAAAAAGAGATCATGGAACTCCAGAGGGCTGGATTTAGCCTCAAGCCTGAATTCAGCCAGTCTGCAGAGCTGCACAAAAATAAGAAAACTCTCCACCTTTAATGCACATTCTGATTCTGAAGTCA